CACGGATGAAATCGTCTCCGACGCGCGTGTTATATGTGTGACTCAGTCCGAAGACAGCCATGATGATCTGAGCCATGTATTTGGCGTATTCTATGCGCGACATATCTTGGAACCGATGAGCGGGAGTTCGTGTTGCAGCTGCAAACCCCAGAGTCTGACCGACGGTCAAATTAGGGAAATGTCTATCAACCTGTGTAATTCAAAGTTAGCAATATGTCTATTGGCAGTGTCGAAGGGTATATACCTCTTGGTTGTATACGAGTTCGCCCTTGAACTCTTTCATCATGCGAGGTTGAGGGACTCCTGGTGATTGTTAGTTGGATTGTAGAGTTGTGTTGGAGCGCGAGTCTTACCATTGTAATGGATGACACTCTCCTTATCCATATTCAAACCATGTAGCTCTCCAGTCATAGACTTCAGAAGTGTACTACAGCCGGCACCTGGTCGACCAAGCACAAGCAACAGCTCGCCACTTTTCAAAATACCATTGAAATCCTTGAGGATTCGCCTTTGGGGGAGTGTGATTGACGAATGATTTGAGGCAACCGAAAAGGGGCAGTCAGGGTGGATGTGACTGTCTCTTGGAACTGCAGCGCCGCGCCCGATCCATATATATTGAGGTTTTTGAAAACGACGTCCGATGTGTGTCCCGAGCGGCCATCTCGGCTCATATCATTGAAAGCTGCTTGGAGCCATTTTTGCAAATCGAACTTTCCGGATTGGGGATCGAGAGATGGGTCCTGTTGAGCGAGGACTGCCAGGGCATCTGTGGTTCCAGGGGTGGATTGTCGGCGAGACCGTTGAGTAGCTATTTTAGTGAGAGTCTCAACATCATCTTGATCGATGAATGCCATAGGAGAGTCGCCGAGAGTTGATGCATCTCCAGTATGAGGAGGCGTTGGTTCACGCTTTTCCCTCAGCTCCAGGGAGCTTGTGTCCGATGACATGGTGCCGAGCCAAGATATAATGGACCACGATCTCGGGGGGAAATTTAAGCGCACAGAGATGTTTGACGGAAATATTCGAAACCAAATTATTTATGGAAAATCAGTCCAAGGGGGGAGAGGGGTGATCAGGTATTTAAAGTCTGTGGTTATTTCCGTTTTTAGATGACATCCTACATTGTAATGGAACCGTGGATTGGGTCGGCGGTCGGAGCAATTGAAGAAAAATCCCGAGAAAAATAAATTAAAATATCAAAAATATTAAAAATATTAAAAAATATATATATATGTGGAGCTGGACCTTACTACGGAGTAGTATTCCTAGCGATGATTGGGTAAATGGACATTCAATTCGGATGAGCAATTTCGAGGCAAAAGGGAGCCTAGAGTTATCATAGTCATCATAGCCATCTTAGCCTTAAATTGCCCTACGCTCTCGGGCTTGACGCCATCAAACTCTGAATTTCTAAGCCTCGTGATGAGTCAGCGGATCTTTCTTGGACCCCAGGAGCCGGGAGGTCGGACCTGGGAGATCCCGAGCCCCCGGTCCACTTTTTGCTCGGCACCCGTGGACAAAAACCCTGCACAATCCCTGAAATAGATCCACCTTCTGTACATAACTAAGCACTAACTAGGTAATATTGGAATTTATGATCGGACCGCAAGGTGGCCAAGCCTATCAACACAGTAGAGCTTGCGACGTTTACGAGCACTCTGGAACCTTCTTACTCCACATGTGGGCCTTTTTTTCAGTTGTTCCTTAATTTCCCCCAATGATTACAACATACAAAATAATAATGAACACCTGAATTAATTATCAGATTACCTACATGCATCTACCTAGGTAAGACTCGGATGAAAATTCGGTCGAATTGAGTGGGGTATCGGCTCGGGAACAAACCGGTCCATTCTATAACTTTGAAACAAGTCCGAGATTCTAGATTCGATTACAATTCGTGATTCACTGGACCTCTTTTTGTACCCGAGAAGAGTTATACAACGCACCCTGATATGCCATATTTTGTGCATCTGAGAGCGTTAATATTTCACATCTAGTAGACCGCTATCCCGACATCCATCCATGGGTCTTGCATAATTCCTGCATTATGTATGTAGTAGGTACGGACTGTTGTCGAATGTGCCCTATAAACAAATACCGTTTTCGATCGATTAACTATCGATCTCGCAGTGACATTATCTACAGTACTTCGTACTAGTTACCAAATAAGTACTTGGTGGCACTTGGCAGACCCACTAACTAACCATGTAACTATTCACCCTTAGTCGCGATTATGCGATCACATGCTATCACATGCTTGAAGATCATTCTTTGTTTGTTTGATATGTTTGCTCTCACTTGGTAATATATATGGATGTTTGCATAGTTTGACGATGTGGGTTGGCTACATTCATGTACCTTCCCTACTCTCCCTACGATTTTGAAATGGCTGTGCTCTTTGTTTATAGAACTAACACATAACAAGCACATAACCTTGGAATACAGCAATTAAGTGATCAATTTTATTAGCTTGGATCCATAACAAAAGCCACGTGCAGGTTCTAATTATAAGGCTTGCGTTGTCAAACGGAGTCAATAACATGGGCTAAAATTGTGGATAGAGATCTTATGTAGTTATGTTGTAGCCGTGCCCAGCGCCCAACAACCGGGAACCGGTTGTTGGGGCGCCCCAGTAAACGCAAAATTCCCAGTAAACACAAATTCTATAAATTAAGTATCTTTTGTATGACTTACTGATACAAAAGGTACTTAATTTCTAGATTTATATAATATGCTTTTTCTCAGCCCTCAAACTAGCTAAAGTAATAGAAAGTATACAGATATATAGTACGAGTCTAGCTTAATTGATTTAATAGTAGTATTAATTATTAGTATTTAATATGGAGGAAGAATAATTGTTTAGAAATAGCACTACATAGAGTGTATAATGGTTAGATGCCTAGATAATTTCTTTATTTTAGTATACTTAGTATTCTTTATCGAAGTTTAGGAAACTAATATAGACTTACTTCATACTATCTATATCTCCTTATATTTGCCCTAACTGGTTCGATGGCTGAGAAAAAGTGTGTTATACTAACGGGGTACCTAAGTACCTTTTGTATTGGTAAGTCATATAAAAGATACTTATTTTCTAGATTTTGTGTTTACTGGGAATTTTGCGTTTACTGGGGCGCACCGACACCAGGGGACCTGGTGTGTTGGGCGCTTGGCACGGCTAGGGTTACATCTGTACAACATAAATCAAAATCAAATGGGGGAATAATACTTATGTAAATAGGATTCGTTAACTATTTATGCAAAAGTTATTCCTTCAACATCACCCCCACTAGAATTGAACTTGAGCGAGAAAGCAAACGCAGGTTGAAAAATCACCAGGACCGCCCGTGGCAACTATGTGACTAAGAGTTTATTGGGTTTGAGAATTGAGGACAGTATCCCCAGCAAACATGGAGTTAATAGATGTCTGTTAAGTGTGAAGCTAGTTGGAGTTGTAAACCAAGGCATCTTAATCTTAGGGTTACAGATGTGTGGTAAAAGTATTCCACTCCTTGCCATTGAAAGACTGCCGACACATTTCTATTCAACCCACCCTGTACAAAAAAGCAAATATCGCTCACTACGAGCCCACATCCTTAGTACAGCCCACGTCCTGATCTCTTATTGCTCTCATTATCTTCTGCATTGTGACATTCTTATCATCCGCCGTTTCCCCACATCATTTTCGATTTCCAAAGGATTCGTTTCTGTTCTTCCGTGGTACATGATTTGACTCTTTCATAACCACCCGATCCACAATTTGTGTCATTTTTTGAGCTTGCTGTCAAGAAGTTTGTAATCTGCATTCTCTTTGACCAATTCCTTGTTGATGTAGTCCACAGGCTTTGTGCAGTTTCGTCGACAGTAGCTGTTCCAACGAGCACGAGGAGGCAGAATACCTGAGTTGTTGGAAGAAAAATATTGAAGGATATCAGATAGGAAACGACTTGTTTGAAAACATTAAGTAACTTACTACTGGAACAGCTCAGCATTGTATATCTACAGAGAAAGGGGATGATCTACAGTGGCTTTATGACATCTTGCATATGCAGTACTTCCCCATTATACTGTCATATATTAGATGATCTGCAGTAATGACCACATAGTTCAAGTGGCTATTGATTCAACGGTTTCACAATACAAAAGCATATGCAGTGGGTACCCATGACTGCCTGACACCCCATTCGGGGTGTACAGGAGAAGAGAGCACACCCCGGGAGTGGTATAGTAGGATGTTGTATGGTCAAGGGCTATTGTACTAGTATCTAGTAGTATAAACTTAGGATCAACCGCCATACCCGATTTAGATTATGTTGTTTCGAATTGGGTTTCTAGAATTAAGTGGAAGAAATGTAGTGGAGAAGCTATAGCCTGTGAGACTGGCTATTTATATATCCACGCATTCCTCGCCGTTTCCGACGGAAGTCGGAAATCTAACGGGCCGGCGAACTCCCGAGGTTGGTTGATTGTAATGGGGCAGTATTACGGGGTCTTCAACTTGGTGATCACATATATAATCTGCGCTGCACTTCAAGCTTCAAGTCAAAGTTCTGGATATTCATGCATAGCGACGAGAAACTTGGTAGCTGAAGACAATTGACTGGTTGGAATTCTGTGACTTTTTCTCATCGGGCTCATATTTCAGTAATGTAACTCCTGGCTATCAAAACTTTCCGGGGGAAGCTGGGAACTCCTGGAATTTACAGCAGAATCTTGAGCAATCGCTAGTTAGTTCTAGTTATATATTAAAAGTCCTCTGCATGTTTTCTACCGTCTTCGTATACATCAAAGGAGGCCAGAAAACCACCAAAAAGAAATTATAAGGCTGTATAAGCGGTCGACTATTCTTGTGATATATAAATTTACATATGTAGTGAGTGATACGTCAGAATCCAAATTGAAACTGGATCTTGGGGGGGCGGGGTAATTAAGCAAGCTTGGCTATCCGCGCTCTCTCCCTCTTCATGACTTCATGAACTCGGAATTACCATCTCGCCATGGCTATCCAGTCACTACGCGAAATCAACGCGTATAATCTACGCACCTTCAAGCGCCAATATGTCTCCGAGATCTCAGGTTCGCTTGGCGACCTAGGCACATTCCTGCCTATCGCGATTGCACTAGCTGCCAATGGCACCGTCTCCCTCGCTAGCACATTGATTTTCTCGGGCATTTTCAATATTCTAACGGGCGTGTTTTTCGGTATTCCACTACCAGTCCAGCCGATGAAGGCCATCGCTGCAGTGGCAATCGCGCGTAGTTTCTCAAACGGCACGATTGCTGCGGCGGGGATCTTCGTCGGTGCCTGTATCCTCGTCTTCAGCTTGACGGGTATCTTACACTGGTTCGCCAATGTAATTCCCATTCCAGTCATCAAGGGTATCCAAGTCGGGGCGGGATTATCCCTGATCATCGCAGCCTGCAGCAGCATGCTTCATCCCTTGGGCTGGATCAACCCCTCCTGGGCCGATAACCGGATCTGGGCAGTTGCTGCATTTGTTGCACTTCTGCTCACCAATATTTATCGCCGAGTACCCTATGCGCTCGCCGTGTTAGCGCTGGGTCTGGTGTTTGCTATCATTCGGACTGCATTGGCGGGGCAGATGCCCAGTTTCGAGGTGTGGCATCCTTTCGCTCTGGTTCCGACCCCACTTCAATGGCGTGTCGGTGCTGTGGATGCTGGCATTGGTCAAATTCCCCTTACCACGCTGAACTCCATTGTGGCGGTTGTTCACTTGGCGAATGATCTGCTGCCGGATGTGCGCACTCCCTCCATCACTCATGTCGGGCTGAGCGTGGCGGGCATGAACTTAATTGGCTGCTGGTTTGGTGCGATGCCCGTCTGCCATGGATCTGGTGGTCTTGCAGCGCAGTATCGGTTCGGAGCTCGCTCAGGAGCAAGTGTGATCTTCCTCGGCCTGTTGAAACTTATTATTGGCTTTTTCTTTGGAGAGACCTTGGTTGACCTTCTGAAGCGGTTCCCTGCTGCCTTGCTCGGCGTGATGGTTGTTGCAGCTGGCGCGGAGCTGCTTAGCGTGGGCGAGAGCCTCAACACCTCTGGTGCTCGGGACCTCAAACAGGCCGGCGCTAACCTTTTGTCAAATATGGAGCATATTAGCCCTCTTCTTACCGATGAAGACCGCAGTCGCCGCTGGACTGTCATGATGATCACTGTGGGATTGCTGGTAGGTTTCAAAAATGATGCGATCGGTTTCATTGCCGGTATGCTTTGCCACTGGTCCTACGACATTCCCAAATGGTGGGAGAAGGCGCGCAGCCGGTGGTCAGAGGGACGCTTGCGTCTACGTGACTAAACATACATTAACGTGGAAATTTCGGGTTTACAATCTCTTGATATCCTTAACATATGCATGAAGAACTCACCAGATATATCATTTTGGTTTTTATGTATATAGCAAGTGTAACTACTTACCATAAGCATTGAAAATACCCACCAATCCACTCACACTAGAGCAAATTTCTAACATCCACGTCACTCTCACTCCGCAGCCTGGTGCCTGTACTAGGATCTTCATACGGGCGGTTCTCCCTTGCCGAAGACGAGAGACCATCCGCCGCAAAATCCACCTCCCGTCCGAACCTCCGACCACTAGCGTCCTTCATCTCCTTATGACGCCTAGTAACCCCACCGATATCATACTCGGGTTGGTCATTATAAGAGCCGGTCACGGGATTATAAACTCTAGACCCCAGCGGCGAAGAAACCAGATTAAACGAATCGTCCTCGCCGTCCCCATCCAAGAGCTGAGCCGCCGCACCCCCAATACCAGCCAGGACGTTAGGCGAGGAATCTTGGGACGTGAAATTTTTGGAATCTGAAACATTATCCTCTAGTTCAGTGATGCGCCGTATTCCACCCGCAGAGGTACCGCCTGCGGGCTCTGGTAAAGCTAGCTGTTCCTGGCCTGTGTTGTCGTAACGTCGCTCTTCAACGACTGCTGGTTGGCCTAAATCTTGCTGGGCGGTACGTACGACTGTCGTGCCGTCGGGTTCGGTGTATGAGGTTGTCGAATACCTGTGTCCGGTTGTAGTTTTGCCGTCGCTGCCGTTGGTTGTGGAACTGTAGTAGTACGAGGAACTTGTGAAAGAGTCGGACATCGTGGTGAACGGCCGCGCTCGGTGGAATGTGGGAGAGGAAAAAGTTGATCTGGTCCACTTGGAATGCTTTGCAATTGAGTTCGTTTAGTTGGGTCAAGGAAGGCTGATACTAAACCTTTGGGGAGATGTGTTGATGTTGGTTTGCCTGAAGAAGCTTCTCGGTATGAAATGTTGGCATCGAGTTGTATTGATTGCTTTCGATGTCTAAGCTGCTCAATTCCGATATGTTTATATAGTTTTGTCTTGTCTTGTCCTGTGGCAAGGTGTACTTGCCTCTTGCATCATTGCCTCCTGCGGCAACTAACCTCTATGGAAGAGGCAAAGACCCATCGGTGTCGCCGAGGGGTCTGGAGAATACCCCACGAGCGTTGAGCTGAGGAACCGAAGCATATATTGATCGTGTAGGCGTTGTCCATAGATGCCCGGTGCACGGATGAAGCCGTAGATAAGGTACTGGGCGTATCAGAATGGCTTATCACCTCTCCCCCGCTTTTCAACATCGAAACCAACTCATCTTCAACTTTGGAACATAAAGCACCTCATGGCCGGACTTACCGAAGCCCAAGTCGCCTCCTTCAAGGAGAACGGGTACCTCGTCCTCCCGGACTACCTCACCCCAACCGAGGTCACGACTCTCCTCGCCGAAACAAACAAACTCCTCGAGGAGTTCCCACTAGAATCCCACCCCTCACCCAGTTCACAACGGGCGACGAAACAGTCGACCATGTAGGCGACGACTACTTCCTGAGCTCAGGCGACAAGATCCGCTTCTTCTTCGAGCCAGACGCGTTCAGCACCGAGCCGGATCCATTGACCGGCCGCGCCGCGCTACTGAAACCCAAAAACCGCGCCGTCAACAAAATCGGTCATTCGCTGCATACCTTGTCTCCTCCATTCAACGCCATATCACTTAACGAGCGGAACGCTGCCGTCGCGCAGTCCCTGGGATTCGCCGACCCTCGCGTGCTGCAGAGCATGGTTATCTGTAAGCAACCCTCCATTGGTGGAGCTGTGCCGTCACATCGCGATTCGGAGTTTTTGTATACGGATCCACCCTCTGCCGTAGGCTGGTGGTATGCGCTGCAGGATGCGGGACCGGCGAATGGGACGCTGGGTATGTACAAGGGGTCGCATACGGGAAGTAAGGGTGGTCACATTGCTAGGAGGTTTGTGAGGAAGGAGAATGACGTGGGTACGGAATTTATTGAGAATCAGGGACCTTCACTCCCCAAAGGCATGGAGGAGGAGAAGAGTTCGGAGGCTACAGATGAGGATCTAGAGATTCTTGATATCAAGGCTGGATCGCTTGTGCTCATTCATGGGAATGTTTTGCATAAGAGCGAGAAGAATACCAGCCTGAATAGTCGGTATGCCTATACCTTCCATGTTATTGAAGGTGCGGAGGGGTGGGAGTATGATGCACGGAATTGGTTGCAGCCGCCTGCTAGTGGGTTCTCAAAGTTGAATGCTTGATACACAGTCAGAATACAAATGAATGATGTTACGGTCAATAATGGTAAATAGTTCGACTTTTATTCTTTATGCAAACCCTGTACAAAAGATGGCCCGCCATATACACCGAGTGTGCGAATCCCAGACACCCCGAACTCCAAGTTGCGATTCAAGGCCGTCAGATCAGGTTGCCTTCAACATGTCAAGCATTCCCTTCGTTTGCCACGCTTGTTGGGCCATCTCCACTTCATCGCGTACCCGGCGGTGCAGACGTTCAACCATCTTGTCGACCTGTGCGGACTGGCCCAGGTTTCCAGAGTAGATATCGAGGAGGTTCATGGCGACCTCGACGCTAAGATCGACCAGACGGGGTTCACGGATGTTCTTGTGAACCCACTGTAGGACAGGCTGAAGAGTGACCTCATCGCGGTCTTTCAGAGAGGCGCGGAGGGCGGAGCGGTGGCGCAGGGCCGTGAGGAGTGTAAGTTGCGCAGTCTTGTCCGCCGAGGTGAGGACCTGGTCCAACGCAACAGAGTAGCGTGCCTTACGGAGATCGTTCTCCCAAGGCTGCTCTCTCTTCCGCTTCTTGCGGTCCTGGCCCTCAATGACAATCTCCACACCTTCTCCGATGAAATCGCGTCCACGGAGACGCTTTTCCCATCCAGAGCCACGGGTCTTCTTCTTCTTAGCGACTTCCCGGTCATGCTCCTCCAATTTGCCCTCCAGCAAAGCTGCCATTTCCTTCCGGCGTTCCCGCTCCTTGATCTTCTGCTGACCAGACAGTCGGGTTTTGATAGACAGGAGACCTGACTGCATACCGACGGCAATGTGCTTATCCTCGTATTCAGTTCCGGAAGTAATTGCGCGCAGAGAGAGAATGGGTGACGGGTATTTGGATCCGGAGACGGGGTTCCACCCAGTGGTCTCAAAGACCTTCATGTGTCCATCGAGCGCACCACTGAGCAATCTCTCACCGTTGGAGGCCAACGCAAGGGCAGTTACAGTCTTTTGGTGGCTCTGGATCATGTGCAGCGGCTTACCAGCCACAATATCCAGTACCGCAATCTTGTTATCGGCCGCGGCCAAAACTGTAGTTCCGGCGGGCATGGGCAGAATGGTCTCGATCGGTGCACCCATCTTGAAGGTCATAGCGGCACGGTTTCCAACTCGGGGATCCCACAGGCGAACAGTACGATCGTAAGAACCCGAAACCACCAGACCAGAAGAAGCCATTGAGCCAGGCATGAATGCACCGCTGCGCACGTAATCGCTGTGCCCGACAAAAGTGCGCGCACTAGTCTGCGATGGCAAGTCCCAAAGCCGCACTGTACGGTCATCACTGGCTGTGAGGACCGAAGTAGGGTCGCTGGGAGAGAACTTGGTCACCCATACGGGTTGCTTGTGGTCCTTCCATGTCTTGAGGATGGCGCGCGATTTCACATCGAAGACTTGCACGGAACCGGTGTCGTCACCTGCCACCAAGACACGTCCATCTGGACGAACATCAGTACCGCGCACGGTATCGTCAAATCGTGTGAGTGTTCGCAGAAGTTTCCGCGTGCGAATCGAATAGATCTGGACTCGTGCGCCCGTTGTCACGGTGAAGACATCGGGAGGTTGTGTAAGAGAGGGGAATGCCGCGGTAGAGGAAGGGACGGAAGGCTGGGTGATGAGATTGACCGGGCCATTGGCCGGTGACGGGATCAGGAGCGGGTTTTTGAATGTTCGCCAGTATTGTTGCTCGGGCGTTAACTGCGTCGAGGGTAACGAGGCGAGCTTGACCTGCTGCAGAGGCAGGACGGGGGCCGCCATGGTTACAGCGGTGGATAGACAGTAGTTGTTCGGGGGGTATTAGTTAGGTAGATAGCCCGGGATGAGCAATGGGTGGTAAAGTTAAGCCGACTAGAGTGCTATCGTGAAGTTCATGGAGACCATCTTTTTTTCTGCCGATCAAAAAAGTTCGTCTCGCCCAATCGGGAAAGGTGGCGGTAGCTCTTTCTGCCTGGGGCATCAGATTCTTCAAGCCTGAGGCAACAAGGCATATACTAAGATCTTGGCACTTATCCACGGAGCATCATTGGCACATGTGACTTTGCCCGTGCATCAAAGGTGTGAAAGTCCAAGGTTGAATACATGGTGGGCATATGCTCGAGCCGGTTGATACCGAACTGGCTGGCACCCTGCAACTGGTACCGTATGTGAAATGGCGTCCGAGTATCTGAGCTGGGAAGGAGATGTAATACCAACCCCGGCCGGAACTGCTCGCTCATATAGGGAAGCATACAAATGTAGAGTAACATGCCCCTAGTTAACTATACCTAATTAGCTAAATAAATATCAAGATAATCTTTTTCTTAAACTATAGTTATAGAAAGAGATATTTAACTACCTATTTACTAAAGGATTCTTTATTACTATAAGACTAGAATTAATTAAGATAAAATAGATATATAAAGTTAAGCCTCGACTATAAGATCAAAGTATTTAGGTACTTCTTTTAATCTAGATTTCTCATTGAAATGGCAGTATAGCCACAATTAGGCATCCAGTGTGCACACCCAACTGCTGACAAATTTGCCAAGCTTCGAATGAGCGGGGTTTACTGATACGAGATTGGCTGCCTTCAGGCCTTCAGAGCACCCCACTCCGTACAGCAGTACTGAATAGTTAGTTAGATGCACCATAATCACATCTTTCACACAGCCCCGCTCCACGTATTCCATCGAGCTGGTTCTAATTCTCTCCTTTTCACCGTGTAGATCTCTACAGATGGTTGACCCAATTTCGATTCTGTCCCTCGTGGATTTGTGTCTAAAGTAAGTGAGTTGTAGAGATATGATATTTCATGCTATTAATACTGATAGATATGGGAAATTACTGGTGCACACATGTTCCGCATTTGCTCATGCAAGCAATGAGCTTCAAGAGCGAAAGGTTCGGGTGAACCATCATTGGATGCGAACTGAAGTTCAGCTCGAGGTACTTCAACAAGTTGAGGGAACCCTAAATGAAGTACACCGGAATATTCAACAGGAAACCCTTCAGATACTTCTCAGCAAACTTCAAATCGCAAATGAGAGCCTTGAGGCCGTCTCGAAGGATACCAGACCTGGAAAGGATGAAATGCGAATTCGAAAATGGAAATACGCCTTGTTGCAGCAGAAGATCGATAAGGCCATTCAAGAACTCGAGCTCTGGCAGCAGGTATTTGATCCGTCGTGGTACCTAATTGTGATGAGTACATCTGGCATTGATACTACACTACACTCGCATCCGCGTGGTCCAATCGGTGCCCCACACACTCCAATCTCGTCCGCTCGATTACTGAGGACCGCACTTCACTCCGACGAATCTTCTAGAATACCAGTTTTCCTCCCCGAAGAAGGTCTAAAATCCCTACAACTTTGCGATATCCCACTCTCTACTGCACGTATCGGGCAAGGAAGAGCTTCTACATCGTCGCAGTTTGTTCTAGAGCAATATGAACTTTCCCCAGAATTGAATTTGAGACAATTCGAGAAAGACAGCCGCGACCTAGCACAGAAGCTAGCTTACTCGGATGCTCTGGAGTTTGGTCTACTCAACTGCAAAGGTGTTGTCAGACACCAAGATAAGAACGGGGGCGAACTGAGTTCAAAGGCGTTGACCTTTATTTTCCGAGTTCCTTCGGGATTTTCGCAGCCGCGCAGTCTCCGGAAGAGTTTAAAGGATATTGCACGAACCGAGTCCTTATCTGATCGTCTTAGAATTGCACGGGGTCTTACGAAAGCAGTCAATTACGTTCATATATTTGGTTTCGTCCATAAGAACATCCGCCCGGAGACTGTTATACTACTGAACAACGGACCTACTGGGATAGGTTCTACGTTCCTTATTGGGTTCGGTAATTTCCGGGCCGCAGAAGGAAATACTTTGAGAAAGGGCAGTTCCGCATGGCAGAAAAGCCTGTATCAGCATCCTACTCGCATGGGGGTTACTCCTACGGCCGATTATATTATGCAACACGACATTTACAGTCTGGGGGTCTGCTTGCTTGAAGTTGGGCTCTGGGAGAGCTTTGTGGATTATGAGAATGCTGAGGCACTTTTGCCCCACGCAAGCGAAAAGCCGGTTGCTATTCACGGTTACTCTTTAGATGACAGTGTTCAACCTTCACGTTTCAAGGACCATCTACTCTCATTGGCGCAGGGCGAATTAAGGAGCAGAATGGGCACTATCTACTCTGAGGTTGTAGTCACCTGCCTTACCTGCCTTGACCCTGAGAATGTTGATTTTGGCGACGAGCGAGAATTCCAAGATGAAGATGGAATCTTGGTTGGCGCTCGATATATTGAAAAGGTTAGTGTATTTGAGCGACTGATTTGCATGCGAACTCGACTCACAATTCTACAGGTCATCATGCGACTCAATGCCATTTCCATCTAAGCTCTTCAAGTTTACGAAAGCACGAAAATTCTAGCGTCATTTTCTCTCCATAGGCACAATCCCGTCCAATAGTTCACCTTCAATCCCAATTTTATATTATTAAGGGATGTGGTACACTATACGACGTGTCCTTCATTGGCAGCTCAATGTCTGCTACTCGGCTAGATAGAGAGGAGTTAGACGGAGATGGGCGAGAAGAAGGGAAAAGAAGTAGCGAGATAGGGGAATAGAGAAGAGCGATATACTATTATGGGATCACATGAGGTGACCCACGTATAGCTCTCTCTTCGTCACTCTTCTCTTATCCACCCTCCGCCTCTCTCCTCTGCGTATTCCTGTAGCAGATAACAATTCCTAAGACAACACAACACGTTCGAACGATGTGCCGATTCTACTTTGAGGCCACAGAGAAGGTAATAGAAGTAAGCCTGACAGGCTGGCGAGCTAAGATGGTGGACGTCGTATGTTGTACTGATTTTATGAAAGCGTCACAGCGATCCTGAAGGGGCAGCCTAAGTACGATAACGGCAACTAGAGCTGATTCAACAGATTATGCCTACTACATAGGAAATATCTGGCGGTGGTTTAATATTCCTCAGTACGCTAGGTGGACGGCTCCGTTGTGATTACGTTTGCGAGATTTATATGATAATCACAAGCATTCACATAACGAGGGCGATTCTAACGGCCTTGTCACGTTCTTCGGGTGACTGGAAGCTGGTGGAACAATCTTTAGTTAGTGAGTATCAGTATCTTAAACACCGTCCCAGGCCCTTGTTCTAAAGAGATTAGAAAATAGAAAAGATGGAAGTTGATCAAATGATATAGACGTATAAAATAACTACTATCGACCTGCAATCTTTCCACAAAGATTCACACAACCATATCTCGTATCGCTTACGCTGACCGGCCGCCATCGTGCGACCAGGCCACGGAGAAGACGCAATCGTGGTGGCCTTTAAGCGTCGATACACAGCGCCACGTTGCTGGATCCCAGATCTTGACTGTCTTGTCGACTGAACCCGACGCCAGCCGGTCGCCATTGTGCGACCAGGCCACCGACATAACCGAATGGCTGTGGTCTCTAAGCGTCGATACACAGCGCCACGTTGCTAGATCCCAGATCTTGATTGTACTGTCGTCTGACCCCGATGCCAGCCGGCCGTTATCGTGCGACCAGGCCACAGACTGGAACCAATTATTGTGGCCTTTGAGCGTCAATATACAGTGTCCCGTTGCTGGATCCCAGATCTTGACTGTCTTGTCCACTGAAGCCGACGCCAGCCGGTCGCCATTACGCGACCAGGACACCGACCTAATCAAACCGTGGTGGCCTTTCAGCGTCAATATACAGTGCCCCGTTGTTGGATCCCAGATCCTGACTGTCCCGTCCTCTGACCCCGCCGCCAGCCGGTTGTCATCGTGCGACCAGGCCACGGAGAAGGGCCAAGTGTCGTGGCCTTCCAGCGTCGATATACAACGCCCCGTTGCTGGATCCCAGATATTGACTGTCGATCTCCCCGACGCCGCCGCTAACCGGCCGCCGTTGTGTGACCAAGCCACTGACTGGACCCAATTGCTGTGACCTTTGAGCGTCGATATACAGTGCCCCGTTGCTGGATCCCAGATCTTGACTGTCTCGTCCAACGACCCCGATGCCAGCCAGCCGCCGTTGGGTGACCAAGCCACTGACTTGACCCCATCGCTGTGACCTTTGAGCGTCGATACACAGCGCCCCGTTGCTGGATCCCAGATCTTGACTGTCGTGTCCTTTGACCCCGACGCCAGCCGGCCGCCATTGTGGTAACCAACCACTTCCCGTCCTAAACCGACCTGACTAACCAATTCTTTCCCGATCTTCTCTTCCCGGTCATATCCCTGTTGCCCGAGGTATGTCGCCGCTACTGTGAGCTTCTTCATCCCTTTCTCTAAATTTTCCCTTAAATTCTGTGCCCCCGGTCGCAAGGGAGAGTTACGGGACGGTAACGGCGTGGGCACTGGATCTATGTCCGGCGTGCTAGGTGAACGAGGCTGCGGTTGGTGAGTACTAGAGCTGCTATATGTGTCCGACCAGGCGTTAGACGGTGGTACGTTTAAGGCCGTCAGACCGTCTATCGCGTTCCCACCCGGCTCCCCTCTATATCATGTTAGAATAGCTCCCTATATTTGGGAATTTGACCCATAGAAGATTACCCCTGAGAGACACCGAGCTGCATAGAAAGCCAGTCATGCGCCAAGATTTGCTCGATGGTGAATCGTCGTTCGGGAGCCTCGGCCATAGTGCCTAATACAAAGTTCATGCAGAACCCGCTCGATGTACCTAGTGGCCGCAGGGGGAAATGTGTTTTGTGATCACGGGCATAGTCGAGTAAGTGCTGGATGGTGCGGAACGGGGGAAATCCGGTCCTTAAGCAGAATGCCACAGCCCCGAGTGCCCAGACGTCGACAGCCGCTGTGTATGGATCCGGCGAATTGCCCCATAGCTCCGGCGCCATGTATCCAAGAGAGCCAATCTGGAGTGTTCCAAGAGCAGTGCCATCTATGTTTTTAGCAATTCCAAAGTCCGCTACTTTAACGTGCCACCGGGGGCCTAGACTGGAAACGAGGATATTCTGCACCACGTTAGTATCGCTAAGCAAAGATCGATCGGCATCAGACCCTACCAAAGGCTTGATGTCCCGGTGGACGAAATTCTTCTGATGCATGTATTGCAAAGCCTGGGCCACCTGCACCGTGATTGACGCCGCTTCGGGCTCCGGGAACGGCTTTATTATGTATTTCTGGAGGTCACCGTACTCGAAGAACTCCATTGCGATGTAGAAGTGCTCTATGTCATCGAACCAGCCAAAGCATTGGACAAAATAGTTTCTATACTGAGTTTAGTTAGTCTTCCGGTCTTATCAGGCACTTGACCTAGTGCCCTTTCCGCCTGCTGTACCTCAGGGATGTGAGAGTTAGAGAATGTAACTAGGGCGTTGAGCTCCCGCCTGGACATTTCCGAAAACGTCGACTGCCGCTTACTGAGACGTTTCACAGCGCGAATGGCATCCTTTGAGGGTCCCGATATACAATGCTCCTGCCAGACGTCGCCAAAAGACCCCTTCCCTAAACATCGCACAGCCCGCCAGCGCTCGGAGCCTGATGGTCGTAGATGATGTCGGTCTCCATTCGCGTCATACCCGGTTTCTAGCCTCCAACCCCGTAGAGGATTACTCTCGAACGAATCCATTAACTTTTGGAGGCCCTTGTAGATAACAGTTAATAAAAAGGATTAAGAGACGCTGGCCGTCGAAATGCTGTTGCTTCGATTATGCGGGGTCAGATACCCGTCTCGACGGGGCTGAATTAGTTGTGCCAAGCCAGGGTACTAACCCCCGTCAGGTCAGTTTGTTTATTATTAACTAGCCGTGCCAAGCGCCCAACACCAGGTCCCCTGGTGTTGGGCGCTTGGCACGGCTATAGGGTCGACTGCAATGAAGGCCCCGAGGACAAAAAGCCCGAAATTTCGGGCAGATGGGAAAAGCATCTTTCCGGGCGAAATATATATATCACCATAGATGCAGCCGGGTTAACAGAAAGGCCTCACTTACCGTACGGAAATAGTCAAGGGCTCGAGATATGTCTTCCTTTCGGGAATAGCGTAGCATCACGACATAGAATACGGCGCAGTAGAAGTGAACTTGAACAACCAATGAGGGTCGGTCTTTTCCATTTCGCTAAGCCTCTGCCGCGGGCAGGCCGGGCTACCAGCCCGGGGGTACTCGAAAAAGAGCTCCGGGATACCCGCCAAGCCTGCTTATATCATCGTCTAATATTGAGTACGTCCCAGGTCGTGGACCTCAGGGATACCCAAATTCATTTGATTATATAAAATATATTTAGTCCAATCATACCAACCCTTGGCGTAGCCCTATACTATACTAAAATGTACCACAACTACTCAGTATATCTATATATATCCCAAATACTATAAAATATCTTTTATTTACTCACTTTTTAATATTGTTTCTACATCAATTCTAGGTTATAATATATTTCGTATAATATTAGTATCTTCTAGTATAACCTATACTAGAATTTTTATAAACGCCGAGTATATATACTAAAATATATAACTAACTAGTTATATATTTCTTTATACTTCTATCCTATTAAACTGTTTAACCTTTTCTTTTTCGCTTTTCTCCCTCTACGTCTATTCGATCGGCTTTAAATCTCGTATATATCTTTATTAAATTGTCTATTTATACTCTACTAATTTTTAGTATTTTCCGACTATATATTATAGTAGTATAAACATTTCGGTTTTCTCTACCCTAGGGACGCCCCCGCTCCGGCGTTCGTTCGGGGGTTAGGCCGGTTATTAGGCGCCTAGTACGGCTATATTATAGGTTCTACTAGTAAGAAATAAAGGAGGCGGTATAATTAATTAGGAAGGCGGTAGTAAAAGGTATTAATACTTTTACGGAGTTACCTGATTATAGAGGGTAAAGAGGGTAAATAAAAGTCAGACGGAAAATTAAAAATTAGAAAAAGAAAACTATAGTTATATAATCAAATGAATTTGGGTATCCCTGAGGTCCACGACCTAGGACGTACTCAATATTAGACGATGATATAAGCAGGCTTGGCGGGTATCCCGGAGCTTTTTTTTCGAGTACCCCCGGGCTGGAACCCGGCTGAAACCCCTGGAGCCTCCCGAGGAAAACCAAGACGTCGGGTCCGGCAACGGGCCGGAAAGATCGGCTCGGGAATTAGGTCATCCATGGATGTACATTGATTGTATAATTTAGTTTATGCCTGGGGATGCGGTGCAGATTCTTCGTTGACTCGACCAGAATCAAATTGGCGAATCCATGTCCACGGAGGTAATTTAGTGAATATAATTAGCGTTATAGTTATTAATGATTTAAAGGAGTGTGAATGGTATAGTACGCCATAGTTATCTGATGTGAACCTGAAACATTGCTTAGTTTATGATCTCTTTCTCGATAGAAATAGAGGGGATATTTCAGCTGAGGTTTTGATTCATATTTTCATCTTGGGATTTTCAAGATTTGTGTATTAAGTCCACACAACAGGATATGGATCCGTCATGTACCAAATCAGGTCTTCAACGTCAGCGTCATCCCGCCATCCACCACCAAATCAATACCATTGAGATAGCTAGCCCGGGGACTGCATAGAAAGATTATAGCATCCGGAATTTTGTCTACTTATGCAATGCGTCTGAAAGGTAACATACTCTATGAGTGGTAGGCTAGAAGAAACCACAGCTGTCAAATCGACATGTATGGCCTCCAGTTGTGAAAGATTCTCCCAATTCTCAATATTCTCAGTCTACTCTTTAAGTGAACATTTCCTAGTCGATCTTCCACCCCTTCTGAAGCTTCATGCCGGCGTACCATGTCTTGACATACTCCTTTCCTGCATGAGGCCCATATAATTCAACTTCCCATTGAGGCGAAGGGGGAGCAAGTCCCGTCTCTGCAAGGCAGGTTTTCTGCAACTCCTCAATACTTCCACCGCGATCGTAAATCGGAAGTTCTCCCAACTGGGCACGTTCCATATGCATCCTGACCCGCAGCTGTTCAGTTGATGCATAGTCTACTGTAAAGTCGCTGTTGACGACAACGCCATATCCGTCGCGCGCTCCATTCATCGTAACAAGCTTGCGATGAACTTCGAGGGCAACCTTCTCGGCAGGTCGCGTCAACGGATCACCCAGCCCGCCTCCACCCCAGGTTACCCACTCGAGGAGATCACCGACGTCAACGCTGATATGGTCGCATTTTGAGGGCAAAATTTCAATAGGTGGATTTTCTGCAGACTGAGAGTACCGGTAAAAGGTCTTTCGAGATCGCTGACCTGGCTTTCCACCCTTCAGACCCCATGGTTTGGTAAACCACCGATCATCGTGGAGACTGAATTCACCACGGCACAAAAACCGATACTGCGTGCGTTGGGCGTTTCCGCCACGGTAGAATCCGGGACCGCCACTGTCAGCGACGCTTTCATTAGCTTCAATACGTAGTGGGTAATTGAGCTCAATGCTTTCTGTGGGGATGGACTTGATCGCGGGGAAAAGGCAGTGGCAATCAGGACCGTCACCGGCCTGGCGGGCAGGAACACCCCCGAATCCGATTTGATAAAGCTGATACCACTCGCCGTTAGGCTTAAAGCCGGAATAAAAGAAGTGAGGTGAGTCACTGAACCCGGCTGCAGCCTGGTACGCTTCATTCTTTTGGCCGATTAAGGCTTGGATAATATCGAGCGTCCGACCCAAGAGATGAGTGCGGCAAGAGATTGGCGCGGGCCGGACAGGCTTAAGCACTGTGCCTTCAGGAATATGCACGTCGATCAGGTCGTGGAATCCATCATTGATGACGGTACCCGGCGCAGCAGCCGCAATAAGATAGTACCCGATGAACATCTTAAACAGAGTCTCCGAGAGATAAAAGTTGATACTGTATCGGCTCTGTGGGGAAGTTCCGTGCCAGTCAAACAGCAGCCGACCGTCTACCTTTTTCATAGAGCAACAGAGAGCCCAAGGTCCGACGTTATGGCCATCATCGTCAACAAAGTCCGTGAAATGGCTTTCTTTATCGTCAAACTGTCGTTCGATAATCTTTGCCAGTCCGGTTCGATTCCGGTGCAATAGCTCATCAGAGGCAGCTAGGTAAACCTCACAGCCAAAACGGGTAGCCAGCTCACAGACTCGTCTGCCGGCCATAGAACATGCCGCCACGATTGCCGTAAGGTCGGAGCGGTACCAATCGGGCTGACGAGAGTTTCTACACAAAAGCTCCACCAAATCAGAGTTCATGACTCCGCGATTGTAGAGCTTAAGGCAGGGAATTTGAACACCATCGTCGAACACTGAGGTGGCGTTAATAGACATGCTTCCAGGAACCATACCACCGACGTCCGTTAGGTGGCCGAACTGTGAAGCCCAGCCAATGATTCGACGGTTGTAAAAGATAGGCAACAGAACAATAACGTCATTCAGATGGCTAATAGCACCCTGAACCTGGTAGGTATCATTGGTGATAAATATATCGCCTTCCTCAATAGTGCCTTTCCACACCTCGAGGAACTGCGTAATGAAACTGCCGAACTGGCCAACCAGCATCTGTCCTTTGCTGTTCGTAATGACATTGAATTCGTCTTGTTGCTCTCGAATGGCTGGCGACATGCTGCACCGTAGCATCATCTTATCCATCTCGCCTCGGATAGAGGCAAGGGCTGCGGATACCAAGGTGGGGATCAGGGGAGTGGTTCTGACGAGGTCACTAGCAGACTGGACTGTATAACTGGTCGCATCTGAGGACTTGTCTAACACGTTGATCAGAATATTCCCGACGCTATCTATCTCTCCATAGTAACCAGGCAGAATCAATGTGTTGCTGTCCATCTCTGTAATGATGCATGGCCCAGTCACCTGGACACCCTGCTGACTGATCTTTGATCGATCCCACACTATAGCCTTTTGCTGCTGCCCTTGCACGATGATGGTCTGTTCCCCAATCTTTGCGGCTAGTGGGGGTTTAGCCGACAACGCTTTTCCAATCTGTGGAATATTAACGACAGGTGAGTCATCGATCAATATAACTCCCAGCCGTATCAACTCTAGTTCAAAATTTGGAAGGCAGTAGGTAAAAAGCTGCTGGTGCTGGCGGTCAAACTTCTCTCGTAGCACATTATGCCACTCCTGAGTGCTGAGAGCTAGCTCATCTGCCTCCAGGTCGACCGTTATTGTCAACGCCTGGCCCTTGTACCTGAGGTCGGCCTGATACTGCGCCTTCCAAGTAACGGGCCACAATGTACTCATGGATCTCTCAAGGGTTTCCCGGGCCTGTTTCTCTAGCGCACAATACTGGTCTTGAACTGCGGCCGCGGTCGTTTCCGACACCAACCGAATAAAAGTAGCAGATTTCTCATGGGTCATTTTGGTAGTCACATCGCCCTGGGCGCACAGAATACCCGGTGAAGGGGGAATAATGACCGGCCAAGCCCCCAGTAGTTGACCAACGGCGTTCGCATGCATGGGTCCAGCGCCGCCGAAAACCACCAGAGCAAACTCTCGAGGGTCGTACCCTTGCTCCACAGAGACGAGACGGAGTGCTCCGTGAATGGTTTCGTTCGTGAGAGCGATGATATCTTCTGCAACCTGGGAGACGGGGAGGTTCATTTGCGACGCGATGTTCTCTACGGCCGCAATTGCCTCCTTAACATCCAACACAAAGTCTCCTCCTAACAAGGTTTGGGGTAAATACCCCAGAACCAGGTTTGCGTCCGTTACCGTTGCTTGACCTCCATTATTTCCATAGCATGCAGGTCCTGGCGATGCGCCCGCACTTTCAGGGCCCACCCGCAACGTCTCTGTGAGCTCCATATATGTCGCAATCGAGCCTCCACCAGCTCCGACGGTGTGGACATCCACGGCGGGAGAGCGAACGGTCAGACTGTCGATGGTGGTTTCCCGTCGCAGGCGAGGCTGACCGTTATAAATCAGAGCGCAGTCTGTCGAAGTTCCACCCATATCCAGAGTGATTAGGTTCTTATATGGGGTGCCTCGAGCCACGACGTCTGCCACTCCTGTGACGCCTCCAGCTGGACCCGACATGAGAATAGTGACGGGTAATTCTCCAGCTAGCGCTAAGCTGGTTAAGCCACCGTCGCTCTTGAGTACACGGATAGTATCGCTTTCAACCGCGAGCTTATCAGCAAGATTCCGCAGATATGTCTGGACCACCGGTTTGACCAGCGCATTCGTACAGGTCGTGACCGTGCGTTCGTACTCGCCCACCTCGGGCAATACATCAAAAGAACAGATAACGGCCACATTGGAGCCGAGCTCCTCATGGATTACTTTTTCCACCACGCGTTCATGAGAGTCATTGCTGTGCGAATTCAAGAGGGAAATGGCAACAGCTTCGGGATTTTGTCTCCTTAACACTCGCAGGCTCTGCCGAAGATCCTGAATATCCACAGCTGTAACCGGCTCTCCATGCACTGACATTCGCTCTTTGCATTGCACTACCCGTTCCAGAGGGACGATAGGCTCTGGCGGAGTAAAGTGCAACCAGGCACCCAGACCGCCTGGGATCTGAGAGCGACGCAGGGCCAGAACATCTTTGTGGCCAGCTGTGACCACGAGCGCGGTATGCGCGCCCTTGCCCTCTAGGACAGCATTGGTGCCTGTTGTGGTGCCGTGGTGGATGAACTGGAACTTTCCACTCCAGTTGAACTGGGCTTTGAGGATTTCACGCACTTTCTTGATGGCGTTCTGGATGCCAATGCTTTGGTCTGGGATTGTGGTTGGAACTTTGGCTCGGACGCTTTGACCGTGAGGAGAAAGGACATATACGTCGGTGAAGGTACCACCGACATCAACTCCGAGTTGGTATCCTTGATTCATGACGAATTCCTTTTGTTGATAGTGACAAGACAGTCCTACTCACAAACAAACGAAGTGATGAGGAGGGGCTCAGGAAGGAGGAGGGGGTAATAAGAATAGTGGATCGTTTGAGAGGACAGCAGTGATTTTTCACCTGCACCCTGGTGGTGACATAACAATCCGGTCTAGAAATTCCCTCGATATCTTCATTTCTTTGACTAAGTTTTGGATTACAAATTGAATAATGGAACTACTTCGTACTCCGAGTTTATGTCCGCATACATCGATATCTCGATCTCTGTTGCTTTAATAGATACTTACACATATTCAAAATTCCTACCGAGAGCGCAAAGTTGGTAAGAAACGAAGACTTATGAGACACTGTATGCTAAGGATGCGATGGCCAAATCTAACTTTCCATTAGTGTTTCCCGAGTACGTACGGAGTATGGTTAAGGACGATCCCTGCTTCCTCGTGTAATCAGGAATATCCCAAAAATTATGTATTCCGTACCGAGTGGAGAGCCCATAACCAGTTATAGTAGCTTCGGAGCAAGATGTGGAGTATACTAATATAGAATGTATCTAAATCAATACAGGTGCATACAGCTAACCCCATCATGAATTGTGAATCCCAAGACACAGGATGGCCACGAATTCATCACCAATTGACTGAATTTATTATGATGGAGACCAAGTCGGGCGATTGAGTTGATCCTTTCAACCACCAAAATCAAAAGAAAAAAAAAAAGAAAAACAATGAATAAAGTGCGGAGTAGCAATATGGAATTCCGATTGGTGTATTGGCGCGCATACCTTACCCTAGCCGCCTTGCCAACAGGGGGTTATAACTTGGGAACTTGCTTTTCCTTCCTTGTTCAGGTTCAGTCTGGAATCCTCAAGTCATCCTACAATGACAGACAAAGAACAGATCGGCCTTAGTTCTGCGGACCCGGAGCATGCAAGTCTCTCTGATTCGACCGAAGAGTCTGAAGTCTTCAAGAAGACCGCGGACGGTGTCAGCTTTCGCAATGTGGGCTGGTTCAAAGCATGCATTCTGTTCGTGAAAGTACTCTTTGCGACAGGAGTATTGTCGCTGCCTTCGGCACTACTCTCTCTTGGTGCTGTGGGAGGTGCCATTAGCGTCGTCGCCTGGGGTGCCTTGAATACATATGCCTTTGTGATCCTGGGCGACTTTCGCATGCGTCGCCCTCACTGTCACTCCATTGCGGACATGGCAGAAGTAATTGGCGGTGTTATTGGTAAAGAGATCACCGGCCTTTTGTTTATTATCGGCTACGTTCTTGTTACAGGCAGTGGGATAATCGGCGTGTCTACAGCCTTGAATGCCCTCTCACACCATGCCGCGTGTACAGTCTGGTGGTCATTCCTAGCTATGGTAGTAGTGGTCGCCACTGCCTCAATCCGCAAACTCACCCATATTGGCTGGCTCACGTATGTAGGCTTCGCGTCTATTTATGCTGCGGTGCTGATTGTCGTCATCGGTGTCACTACACGAGACCGACCCGCTGCCGCTCCCCAGACAGGCCCCTACGAACTTGGTTATGTAGCTATTAACAATCCAGGTTTCGCCGCCGGTATGGTCGCCTCTAGCACTATCTTCGTCTCCTCGGCCGGTACGAGCGCCTTTCTCCCTGTAATCTCAGAGATGCGGAACCCGAAAGACTATAAGAAGGCGCTGTACCCCTGTATGGTACTAGTCACGGCATCATATCTTGCCTTCAGCTTGGTCGTTTATCGCTGGTGTGGACAATGGGTCGCCAGTCCGTCATTAGGGGTATGTATTTCTCGTCTATCCCGATGCTAATCTAATCATCGTGTGAACTAACGGGTTTGCTTTATAGAGTGCTGGCCAGACGATCAAGATGGTATCCTACGGCGTTGCCTTGATAGGGCTAATTGCGAGCGCCACGCTCTATCTTCACGTAAGATATTGTTTATATTCTCTCTATATGAACTTTTCAACTGATGCTGGTATCTAGGTTGGAGCAAAATACCTCTTTGTAAGGATCCTGGGCAAAACCCGTCACTTGCAGGCAAACTCGGTGATCCATTGGGGGACTTGGCTTGCCTGTACAATGTTTCTAGGCGTCATCTCTTTCATTCTCGCTGAAGCGATTCCTATATTCAACTACCTGATTGCCTTGGTTGGATCGTTATGCTTTGCTCCGCTCGCTATATCCCTCCCCGGGTTACTTTGGCTACACGACCATGGGCACTACTTGAAGGGGTCTCTTGTGCAGAAGGTCAAGTACCATCTCCATATTGGAATGGTCGTCCTTGGCATATTCTTCCTAGTCGGTGCGACCTACGGTGTCAGCATCCAAATCAATGCGGCCTACGCTGATGGAACCATTGGTATGTGTGGTGTGTGGGAGCCTTAGAGCAGAACGCCAACCATTAACTAATATCTACTATAGGCTCGACATTCTCCTGCGCTGACAACTCCAATTCCTCTTAAATTAGATAAGCTGGTGCTAATACGAAAGGATTTGTTGATGGGTCGAGCTAGTATCTCGCGACTGGGATGATGGCATCACTTTTTTAAGAGATGATGAGTATGCAGGGTGAAAAGGATGAAAGGTGATTATAACTAGTCTGAAGAATAGACTTTGGACCCACATGAAGTTTTCATAGAAGGTGTGAAGTCGCGTATTTACACTCTAGTACTCCTATCCGTACTGCTTTTCTTACACCGCCTAGTTACTTACCTATTATCCATTGTTTACATCATAAATATAGGTACAAGAAGCGACGCGCTGCAATATGGGGAAACCGACCGTTCATTGGGTTTATCAATTTAGATGAGACTACGGAGTATGCCTCACCGGGTTGAGGACGCTATCAAGTACGAAGGCTGGAACACTAGTTATTAAGGGGTTTGTACTCCGTATATAAATTGACGTTCAGGAGTTCTATCGGCAGAAAAACAGTTTTCATTTTTGAAACATGCTGTATAGTGACTGAGCAAACTTTAACACCCCTAGTCTTCTGCCCCCAAACATAAAACCAGCTACGCTACGCGTTTATGGAAGGCGGTGTATCAAAAAAACTAGTAACACTGTCATTTGACATGCAAAATTTCTGGGGTCAGGCGCAAGGTACGTATGAGGTAGCGTCAGCCCTGGACAAACTCCACTCGGATCCTTTCCGTCATCCGCAGGATCAGAGGCGTTGAAATCCTTCTAGAATCGCACCACCATGTTGCTCCACCTTGGATGCAACCTCCGGTGGAGAACTTTCAACCCTCCGAGAATTCTTGCCACAGCTGGAAAAGAGAAAACGGAGGGGAGACTGCAGTATGAGAACTATTGCTCCTAAGAGCCCTTGTCTCTTCTCGGGCACTGGGCAAAAATTATCGCCCCCAGATCTTCCACCATGGTCCAAGACCACAGCCGCAAATAAATAGACTTCCCAGCCCGCTGTGGGTCTCTGGTAACTTGGTCCGGTCCGCTTCGCCCCGAAGCCCCGCTATACGTCTTCGTATAGGGGTCAGGCGTCAAAACCCAATTTTGGGGGGGATGTTGATGCCTTAATGCCTGGATTACCACCGCTTTATACACCGCTCTATACAGTGTACTGTAAATTGTTAATACATCAACCTGCCTAAATGAAGCTTTTTGACACCATAAACATAAGGCATCAACATATTTCTGGGTGGTTGCAAGTCCAAAAAATGAAGCTTTGACCTCCATACAAATCAAATCAATGCATTTCCAAAAGTGAACTTTCTCTCATTATTACTATCAAATTCGGACTTGCAACCACCCAGAAAATGGAGATGCATTGATTTGTATGGTGGCAAAAGGCTTCATATACCCTACCTAACAACGCTGGGAGAAGCCAGGTACTTTGATTATTAAGGCACGTGTAATAGTAATTCAGGTATTTATACTTTTCTGCCGTTCTAAAATAAGGCATTAAGGCACCAAGATCCTCTAAAATTGGGTTTTGACGCCTGACGTCTTCGTACCCGCTATGTGAACTTAGATCCCTTCGCTAGACTTGACAATTAATTGTTCCTCGAGAACTGCACGTATTAGGGGTAATTTTACCTGGCAGTCATTTTAATTTGCAGGACGGAGGACAAATCTCTAGCAAACGCAGTATTAAGCACTTTTAACCCTACTCCGTAGACGCAAATTGTTCCAGGATATTTCTTGATAGTATTAGTATAATATCTCTTTCACCTCTGGGTCATTCTAGGTGCTCTGAATTGTTACCTGAATGGTATGGTGACGATAAAATTTTTAGCTCGCTGTGGGCCTCCATTGGTAGACTCTTTGGGCGAACCTGGTCGCCTTGGACTTTTCGAACTCATTACGTTAGTTAATTTAGCCAACTAGTTCACTAGGTTATGCAAGTCGCTATCAGGATGGACGAGGCTTAGATAATCCCGGGTTTCAGTTAGCACCCATACTCCGTACAAAGGGACACTCTCGACTCGAGACGCAAATTGTTCCAGAATCCATCATATGGCATAACATCTCTTTTCACCTTTGCTTAGGTCTTGCCAGAAACTGTCAATTGCTAATTCTTGGTGGAAGCTTCGATGCTACCTTAAAAAATCTTGCATCGTTCCCTTGCTTCTACGGTGAATAACCAAGGAAATCGACTTCGCAAAATTAAAAACTACGCGATGGCAGAGCAACCTGCTGTACCGCCGCCGGTAGGGCAGACTTCCAACTTTGCACATCCTAAGGACGTATTGCACACAGTGAACCTCGCGTCCCAAGTGTTGTGTATCATAGTCGTCACGGTATTTGTGGTGATACGAATATGGATTAAAGCTAAATATCATAAAAGCTTCAATGCAGAAGACTGTAGGCAAACCTATCATTATGTTCGAGTATGCTTTGATACTGACTATCTCCACCAACAGACTTGACAGTTGCTGGATGGGTATGGCTTTCTTAGCTGTTAGTCGGTTCTAATGCTGACTTTTTCAAAGGTGTTATTCATCGCGTTTTGCGCATGCATGTTTATACGTTTGTGTCTATTTTCCAGGCAAAAAATATAGGAGTTGCTAACCATGATATAGTCAATTCCTACGGTGGTGGATACAATGCTTGGGATGTCCCTAAAACTCAGTTCATCAAGTTTCAAAAAGTCTGAGTTACTTCCTCCCTTATCGCTTTAGCACGCTAACAATAAAACCAAAAATAGACCTCCTACGCAACTACGCTGATTTATGTCCCAATGGTGTTCGTGATCAAGCTCGCCCTCCTATCAGTCATGGGGAGAGTTTTCGCTCCAGACCGCCGGAAGGTTAAAGTCATATACATTAGCATTGGTGTTATGTTGTGCTACTACCTCCCAGCACTGTTCATCAAGATATTCTTCTGTGTCCCTATCTCGGGGTACTGGTTGGGTACTTCCAATGGTGGCAAGTGTCTCGACCAGCGGAAGGTCATTATTGCCGACTCAGTTATCAGCATCGCCTGTGATTTGTGGATCTTATTTTTGCCTGTTCCATTAATATGGTCAGTTCAGATGACATCGGCCAAGAAATTGCGAGTCGCCGGAATTCTGGGTGCCGGGGGACTTGCTACGGGGTTCAGTATCTGGCGACTTGTGATCATGGTGGATGAGAGCAAGACTACAAACACGACGTGGTTCTGGATCTACTGTGCTTTGACTGCGTAAGGAATCATCTCTTCTCTCCGAAAAATAGCTTTGCGAAGTCACCGCTGATAACTAAGCGTCAACAGCAACGCCGAAGCCTGCATCGGGCTAATCTGCGCCTGTCTACCTGCGATGAACCATTTCTTCACCACAATGAAAACAAGCAGAAACAACACCGGTAATAGCGGTTATTTGAAAAGCCATGAACTTGAAAGCTGGCAAAAACATTCCAGTCGCTCCGCCCAAAAAAACCCGGAAAACTTCTTCTTACCTAACCAAAACGATCAAGCGCATCTTATTACCACTGCCGCTGGTCCCCAACACCGTGAGAACTCCGTTTCCAGTCTACGCTCCGAATCGCCTACTTCACCTACTGCCAAGGAGGGCATTAGCAAGAACATTACAGTGTCGCAAGTTTTCGAAGTTGTAAGATAATCATGCCTCGGGTAACATTTACGGAGAATATTATCACCGCCGTTGGAGTTTCTGGGAATTTACCAAGGGAATTGAGCACGATCAACTGAGCGCAAAGTACATTAGGTGTTTGGAAATTTGGAGTCATATCGAAAGAGCTAGAAAGGAGAATCCGAACGAGATGGACAGGCATTCCGAGGGGAACTAAGGGCGGCTATACTGCTGCGATTAAGAAGAGGAATTAGGCCACCGGTTGTGATGGTTCTTTGCGCACCAGATAGCAAATTGGAAAGATTGGTATTCTTTTTGTATAGCGACTCCACACAAAAGGTACTTAAATACCTCATCCTACAATTTGCTAGCTGGGGCCACCAACTCCTCCATGCTCCGTGTTGGTTGGCTTGCTACAATTACAATTAAAGCGCTGCTAAAATGCCATCCATTAACCTTTTTTGCCTTCACCGACCAGTCTTCAGGGTTAGAGTGCGTACTAATCTACATGCACTTATCACAGGTATAACGTCGGGCTGTTTTTGAGACCAGCAATTGCGCAGCTGCGGGCAATGAGGGGCTCGTGTCATCCCAATGCGCGTATTAACACAATTCACCTAACCCCTTTAATGGGTTCTTATTGAATTTCATTTGTGAAGCCTGGCCGAACGAGAGAAAAAGTGCGAATTAGAGCCGCACATCCTTAATGTTGCTGACTTTACTCAGCCTCTCGTTCAGACCTTCGCTCAAATTAGATACATCGTCCTAGACCTCCGCAATGGGCCGAGTTGGGCCAGGACCTTAGACCCATAAACCAACCAGCAATGGGCTATGGGCCCTACCTTCAAAGACCAACTAAACCTATGGCCCATTAGTGGGGGCCTATGAGGCCCCCAACAAAGACCATTTCTATACATAAATCCCGTCTTAGCGCTCATAAACCTGCTGAATAATGCCAGTTTACTTGGAAGATCTCGGCCCGCTGGCCCTAGTCTAGCCTAATACGGGGGTTCAATAGGTGATAGATTATAAATGTGCATATATATATATTTCATATAGACAGAAGTAGGTGCATCTAAACTTTGAAAATTATTCAAATGCCACTTTAAGGTTATTATATAAGTACCTTCTTCTTCTTCTTGGATATCACATCTATAGATTGATTACTCTTATTAATCTTATTAATTTCATAAATCCCATCTATGGTCAATTCTACCAATTGATTGACTTAATTCCCATAAAGACTCGGTCAACTTAGGTCTTAGACGGTAATTTAAATACTCAAAAATACTAGAAGAATCTGCATTACTTATGAATCTGCTAAGAATTGGCATTTCTGTATTGTTTGAGGCCCATTGGGCCCCCATAAAAGCCTAGTGGGCGTTTATCCTAGGCCCAAGGCCCATCGATGGGCCTAAGGACTGGCCCAAAGACCAGCCCATTTGCTATGGGCTTTATGGGCCGGTGCGGAGGTCTACATCGTCCGCAGGCATGTAATCATGTAACGGCGCGCACTGGCAGCTCGGCCGATGGCCACTGCATCTGTAAGAGCCAATGGGGAGAGAATAAGGCCAAACCCATTGGTGCGTTATCGGGGTCGTCAACGATGGTGTAAATGTCCAGAGCGACATTACCGACTTCACCCAACAATTCGGCCAATAGCTGCCATGGAACTGACAGCACCAGCACCTTCACCAATTACTGGAATAAAGAAGAAGATGGCAGTCAGGAAAGCCATTAGAATCGCCTCCCGCTTGGCCTCCTCGATTTCCTCTCCAATTTCCTTGGCCTATGCTATCAACAGCGTCCGCAACCATAGAGATTGGAAGCGACAATGCTTCTACCAAATCATCAGCATCGAGTGAGAAAGTCCCCTTAGTCATAAGATCCGGAACCCTAGTCATCTCAGAGCTGAGAAATGTGACATTCTTGTGAGCGTCTGACACAACGTCTTTCGGGTTGAGTACGTCTTCCTTGTCATACCCGTCGGCCACAGGGAAGTTATAATCCCAGTGTCGGTATGCACATGTATCGTCGCTAGGCGCACACTCCCAATGATGGACATTTTCCCATTTGATATTTTCCTGATCAATGCCTTTCGTAGTGTACAAGTCTGCCCAAAAACTCTTGGCCTTGGAGGCCATCAGATGCCAGTACACCGACTGTGACCAGCGCGAAACTTGTGGTGTTTGCGCGCGCAATTAGTAATCGGGCGGACATGCCCAGGTGGCTCCGTCACATTCTTGTACCTGTCCTCTACACCGTCACAGACGACCTCGGGCTCGTCACAAATTGGGTCCCAGCCATTGTCGTAATCCTCGCTGTAACGACAGTAGACGTCACTGTCTTTCCCGCACTGGTCTTCGCAATATACTCTTCACTGGTTGTATTAAGAAATTTACTATGAATTCTACATATTAAATATACTCAATAATAGGATACATCTTTATTATACTATTTGTAGTTATTGAAGGTAGGTGACAGTGACCGATGTAAATAACTGTATGTGCACGACTACAGTTCGATCGCCAAGTAGATCTGTCTAGTGACCTTATGACCAGTACGTTACAAAGAGAAAACATTAGGAGAAAAGCTTTAAAAGATACTTCCACCATTTTTCGTGTCGCAAAATCAATTCTCAATCAGACTCGATGGATCTAACTCCTTTACGCTACAATGCAGGCTCCTACAATCTCATTGTTGTTGCATTGCGGCTCAGTACTTACGTCTGCCCATTTCTTTTATCAATTAGGTACGAGTACGAGACTCCTTAAAAAAGGGCCGGATTTCAATGCTATGATTAACCAACTAGCTTTTTGCTACTTCCATGGATCCTCCTGCCTGAACGGTATGAGTACGACGGGGTATAGCGCTCAATGACAAATGCCTGAATTTGGCCTGGCAGAAAAATGAAAATACATGAATTACTATTACAGGTCGCTTAATAAGCAATTTACACTGGTTGCCTACAGTGCCCTTCCGCTACCGCCTTTTAAATTAATCATACCGCCTCCTTTATTTGACGTACCGCCCTTTACCCCTTAGTTATTGGTGGATATCAAGCCGGCAGAACCTGAATGAAAATGAAGCTTTTCGTCCCCATATGAATGGCGACATCTCCATATTTTTGGACGGTTTGCAAGTTAAAAATGAAGCACTTGCAAACCGCTCAAAAAAGTGGAGATATCTCTGGTATAGGATCAAAAGCTTCATTTTTAATACTTGCAAACTGTCTAAAATATGGAGATGTCGCCATTTGTATGGAGATGCGAAAAGCCTCATTTTATGGGTTAACGGCGCCTAGTTATTCCATGCCGAGTTGGTTACAGTACACTGTATAGACAGGCCTGAAAGCGGTCTAAAACAAGGCTTAATTCAGGCACATGTCAGGCCAAATTCAGGCATTTGTCATTGAGCGCTATACCCCGTCGTAGTATGAGCTTACCGACCTCGGCCAGTTTAGAATTTCCACCATAGCAGCCATAGTGTGTCTTGCTTTCTCTTCTTCAAGTTTGCTGTTTTTAACAACCCGGTGCCGAAAGCATCACACACGTGAATTAATGATTTTATTGAAGTAAGGGCTTTTTCCACGAAATTATACTTTTGAACGCATGGCTTACCCACACTTTCGGTCTAGAGCATGTTACGATGCTAGCAAGATGGGCTATTTTAATATGTCTATTTTCGTGGTTTTGGCACCGCAAGATTTTTCACGGCCTACTTTGATTGGATGGATCTTGACTATAGCCATCACGATATGCTACATCATCATGCTTTATCTTGCGGAATATCAAGACGGACACCGAGGATGCGATTCAAACGAAAGACCTGATATACCATATATAGCAAAAGGCTGTCTTATCTCATGTATCAGCCAAGACGCTTATGATCTTAGATATATGGATCGTATTTTGTTGGGTGCCTGGATTGATGCCTGAATGCCTAAGGCATACAGAGCCACATGATGACAGATCCATAACTATAGATCTCTCCCCTTCTCTCTTTCTCCTCTTTGTCCAACTCAATCATCAAGAATCTATCTACTAGGTTTCATTATCAATATTCCATCAAATAGATTCTACATTAAAAGCTTATGATTGTCCTAAGGTGGATGCTATTATACCCTTCCTTTACTCCAATAACCTACTAGTACAGCAGCATTACTAAGACCAAGCAACTATGAGGATTCACAAGGTGCCATAGGTATCAAAGAGGTCCAATACCGCAGCCACAGAAGAACACAATGGACTTACATGGAAAACTGGTATCGTTATCTTAGATCCGCTTCTCGAGGAATTCATCGGCTTACAATTTATCTCGTGGAGGCAATGAACCGACTGAAAGCTTCCGTCGGGTCATTGGCCAGTTTATCCTCGGAAATCGCGGCCACACAAGCCAGGTTTTACAGCCATCTGTTGACCAGTCCAGTGGCTCCGTAGCTACAGAGTGAACTACTTCTGTTGTTAGCTCGAGGGACTATATGATCACTCCAACCGCCATAAAGGCTGAAAGCCACGACTTGGACCGGATCAGGAAGTTCAGGAGAGACCACCGCTCACCACTATACCAAGTAGCGGAAGCGATGAAAAACATCGAGATGGAATCGCTGGAAATCATCAATCCGTTTACGCTGGCACCCTGGGAAGCACGCGTGCAAACTGATGATGAGCCCATCTCCGAAGGGTCAACTGTACCAGGCGGATCAATGCAAATCGCGTTCAGCAGCTCGTCACGGAATGAGCTGGTGGGATTCGGGGTTGCGATCGAGAAACAACCACCTCGCTATCGGAAAGTGAGACTGAAGGTCTTCTCCGTCACGTTGGGCGAGGACAGAGCAAAATCCATTTGCCGCGGAGCTAGCGGCAATGGCGCATACACTGAAGTCGTTCGTGGGATTGAAAGACTACAGGATTAAACTGCTCACGAGTAACAAAGCGGCGGTATCAAATTTACTCACTCACAATCTTTGCTATATCTGCTTCTCACCACTGGAGTTCGCGAAACTGTTGAGCTGACAAGCACTTGGACTGCGCATAATTTCTGTTCTCCTGTGACGTCCAATTTGAAACACCCTGCAAGTTTGCCAAGCACGATATTAAAGTGCATAACACGTGTGTCACCTGGAGTCAATTCTTCAATTATCTATCGTCTTTGACTGATGTTAGTGCCGTCTTTAATTATCCTCTAGAACGCACTAAAGATTCTAACAGCTTGCTCTACCACATGACTACCCACGTTCAAAAGCCATCTATTGCCCTGAATAATCCCGCTGAGCTTCCAATGAATTAGTGCAAATATTGCACCTAAAGGCCGCGATATGAATGTGCAGTGGGTATTATCTATTGTATGGCTATTGGCAATAAATTTTGAGTCATGACGTGAACATGACTTAAAATACCTAACGAAGATTTGGGATTCTACATCAGTTCAAATTAGTGGCGTTTCGAAATATAATTATTCCAGTTGCGACCTTGTATCGTCCTGCAGAACGTAGGACATAAACGTATTTTCATTTAGAAATAGGAGATGTTGCTGGTTGCAGGAAGTACTGTATGTCCTCAATTCTCGGTCAATTGTTACAAGCCTCCAGAGATGATGTCGTCAGCGGAAATTTTCTGCCCCTAAGCAGCTAATGCTTCATCCACTGTAAGGTCGCACGTCATAAGACTGAAGAAGTGTCTAACTTTCCTCGATGATTTCCAAATAATTAAAGCAAAAGAAGGCCCGATCTCAAAGCCTAATCTGCGAACCCAGATATGACTTGCGGCGTTCGAGGTTATGGCCACAACGTAACATCAGAGTGGGGAGAAAATACATGTTGGCCAATAGCACACCAAAGCCAGATGACTGCCCCGAGCTAAAATTTCTCGGCGTCAGTTGTACCAGCGAGACCCACGGGTTCGGCGGCAGCTCGACCGCTCACTTTTGTACTTGCCGTTTTTGGAGAAGTATATGGGGTTTAATGCACATTAATTGCAACGGGGTGTTACATGTTACGACCGGTCAAGCCTAGATTAGAGTAAGTCTAACTTGCCGAACCGGATTTCATTCGCGATAAGGATACACATAAGACCGTTGAATAATACGGTTCAATCTGTGCATTGCAATATTTGAAGACTATGTCTTGTTATTTCGTGCAACCCATTCATACTCAAACATTTTCAAGAGGGAGACACCTGCATCTTGGTTGGGGGAAATGCAATCCATATTCTGTTTAGTCCACGAGATAGAGCTCAGCCCTCCGCTAATCATCCTCAGCAGGTACTCGAAGACCCTCTTTCTCGCCGTGAAAGACTGGTTTTTCAGTGCTAGCAACAAGCAATGTGACCCTCAATGCCGGCAAGCGATCTCTGAGAACATACCGCCGAGCTTTCCTTTTCCAGACCTAATGCAGGATACCCTAACTCCTCCTGTGAGCACTATACCATGCAAGTGTTGCCGAGAAAGCGATGCGCAATGTGACAGAACCATGCCTGCCTGATTGTACTGCATGCATGAGCAGCTACTTTGCTTTTATGTTGAGTCTAAACGTAATCCCAAAAGCCGTCGTCGCTGAGAATACATATTGTTATTGGCTGTGGTGTTATAACTGAATTCAGTTGTGCTCGGTGTTGGTGCTTATCAGGTCCACTTATCCAATGAAAAGGCCAAAGTAAGTGTAGTTCGCGTTCTTACTAACGAAGAACCCATTTCATAGAATGTAAGGATACACCAGCCACGCTTCCACGGTAACGTTTTCTGATGTTTCTTTTTGAGGAAGCCCGCTTTGCCTTCCCCTTTTGTTTGATTAATGGTAGCAAGACAGCAAACCCAACCCCTCACTCATACTGTTGTGATGCTTTGCTCTTTCTACTCATGCCAGAATTCAAGCGATCACCCAACCTGGAATAGTGCCGTTGGAAGTCTCGGAGCGCTTCTCATCTTTGCTGAGTCAACTCGAGAATCGAGCTTGCTCGCCAGCTTAGAATTATGCGGCCCTGTAGTTTCGCTTCTGTCGTTGCTGACTGAATAGAGATGATTACCCCCAGAAAAGCCTTCTAGTATTGGCCTTATCATTTCTAGGCAGGTCAACTATTTGCGTTCTAATCATCGAGTGCTAGAGAGCTGTCACACCTCTTAAGGCTCATCACTTGTGAATCGGCTCGCAATAAATGAAACGTTGCATTGGTAGGCTTAGAGCACGTCACCTACCGCATACGGTAGTCAAACATGTCGCAGGCCGTGTTATTTACCCCGAAAGCCATATAAGTAGCCAAATTCCGTACTTAATCGATTGGTTCCTTTCCAATACAAACTAACTATGGCTGCCCCTCCCGCTGGTTCTTCTCCCGTTACCAACGATGGGCGCTCCAGTAAGCCACACCATGCAAGCCGACTAAACGGACCTCTCAAGTACTCGGGTAGCCTCGACCAGTATGAGTCATTTGACCTGACCGCTGCCATTGGACGGGAATTCTCGACGTTGCAATTGAGCGACATAGTGCATGACGACGCGAAGGTCCGGGACGTGGGCATTACGGGTTGATATACCTTTTTACATGAAGTGGAGAAGGCCAAGATGTTAACGCTGAAGCAGTCTCGCAACGTGGTGTGGTTTTCTTTCGCAATCAGGACTTGAACATCGAGGATCAAAAGACCTTGGCTGTCAAAATCGGACATCTGACTGGAAGACCTGAGACTTCGCGCCTCCATAAACATCCCCTGGCCAACAGCAAGCGTGGGGTTGCTGTGGACGAAGGTGGAAAGGTTGATGATGAGGTCACAATCATGTCTTCCGAGCAGAACAAGAGGTACTACAAAAATCGATGCGGTCCTACGGCGAAGAGGCTAGCAAGTGAGGGATGGCATTCCGAGTAAGGGAAATTCTACTTCGTTTATTTTCCATGCGGTTGACCTAATTTCAATCATTCTAGTATCACATTCGAGCCTGTGCCATCGGATTATGCCATCCTTAAGATTGTCACTCTTCCTGAAGATGCTGGAGGAGATACTCTCTGGGCATCTGGATATGAAGCCTACGATCGACTCTCCCCTGCGTGGAAGAAATTTGCCGAGAGTCTGTCAGCCACTCACTATCAGCCCGCTTTCAATGAGGCGGTGAAAGATCAGGACATGGAGCTGATCACTGAGAATCGGGGCAATCCAGTCAATAGCGGAGTGGATTTCAAGGTTTCCCAGTCAGCACACCGCTCCCCAAAATCTTTCTAAACCGAGGCCAGCTAACCAAGAGCCATCTAGCCCTGTGGTACGCACAAATCCCGTAACTGGGTAAGTGAGGCCCACCTTCCCGAGAGATCGATTCCAATACAATAATGCAATGCTAATAATATGCAGGTGGAAAAGTCTTTTCGCGGCCGGATTCCAAATCCGTGCAGGTTGGATTGACGACGTGACTGACTATGAAAGTGAAATATTGAAAACTTATTGTACCATGCTACCCTCAAAGCCTGAATGAACCGAAAACACTAAACACTGACATTTCTTCTAGTCTTAAAATTGGTTTCCGAGAACCATGATCTCCAGGTCCGCTTCCGTTGGAGCAAAAATGACATCGCCATCTGGGACAAGTACGTGCAAGTCCCACCTTCTTAATTCTTTCACACGCTCTAACCTCGCACATAGCCGGTCCGTCTTCCATACTGCCACATAGTAAGCCAAAGGACTCCTACACTGCGTGGATATCCATGCTAACCACAACATACAGTGACTACACCGGTCTACGACAGGGAAACCGTGTTGTCTCACTGGGAGAGAGGCCATTTTATGATGCAAACTCGGTTTCGCGGAGAGAGGCACTTGGTTTGGCAACCTAGTGAGTCAACCGTGATATGGAGAAAAAGCTTCGACTGGTGATTTGACAGATAGCTTTAAATGCATCATCCTTATTTTTACCGCAAATATAAGTGCCTGTTTCTCTATATATTTACATCACGAAATAATTTATGCTTGTCCAACTGAAAGGTCACATCGCTACATTTCCGAAAACGGAAAGTCCGCACACAGGCAGGTGCTAGACGTAGATATAGGCTCTCTTTATAAATGCCACCTGAACCCTCTTCCACAACCTCTCTTCCACAACCTCCCCAAAAGTAGCAAGCTGAATACGCAGCCAGGCCAACGAAAAATGGACCCCGCAATTCCCATCAAACTCGACTACACCCTGCGTGATCTCTACTCAAACGGCAATGAAGATGACTTGAACACGGTCCTAATTTACTATCCTCTGCAATTTGAGTATATTCATGGAAGATCATCGACAAAATTTGTCTATGCGTATACACTGCAAAATGACGATGAAAAAGCGTCGTCTTCGATTGCAATGGCAGCAGGCATGTTACCCCAACGGTACGCATTCTCCGCGGGTAATATGCCACTGTTTATCCTGGATTTTGATCCAAGAAACATCCAGAAAGAAGCGAATCATATAACATGCCAAGTGATGGACAAGCTACCTCCCCGCCATGTTGATATCCGTCGGACCTTTGCCCAGTTAACGCCCGACCAACAACCGACTTTGACTTTCGTGGACAACCCGGAAAATATACCTCTAGAGGCTGGGGCGCAGGTTGCCGTTTTAGTCCCTATAGACTGTCTGTCGCATCTTCCCCATCTTGTTCAGCCGGAGATCCATTACGAGATCCTGTCGAAACGCGGGCTTGCTGTGTCCGGCTTGGCGACACCCCCTTCCCAGGTTATTGACACCTGCCTTATCGACCCAGGGGACCCGATTCTTTTGAAACAAGAGGTTTCGCGGATGGTGGAATCAACTGAACAGCGTCAACTACCGTTCATGATCAAGCTTCCACAGTCCATTTCCGGCATAGGTACCTTTGCGATCACCACGGAAGCCGAAAGGGACCGAGTGAAGAATATTCTCACGGCGCGTTTGGGGGCGATGATACAGCAGCTCAACAAGTCCAATCATCACTTATATCCTTGTTCTATGGTACTTCAAGATTACATTACTGGGCCAGTGGTGGCGCTGTCGCTTTTCGTCACGAAAAAGGGCAGCCCCGCTTCATTGCTTGTTGCGAGCAGCTCTTCGACGAGCAGGGACATTGGATCGGCGGGTCAATCTTGTACCGACAGCAGACGGAGCTTTGCGAGACCTTTTCCGCCATTTCGGAGAATGTGGCAACTTTCTTACATAGCAAAGGGTATCATGGGCCGGCTGGTGTGGACATTGTTACTGACGAACACTCGGGGGAACAGTTCATCGTTGATCTCAACGTCCGGGTCACCGGTACATTCCATTTGGGTCCCCTACTGGGACATTTCACCCAGCGCGGGCTGTTTGAGGCTGCCATAACTATGGGTGACTTTTCGTGTTCTAGAGATGCATTTGAGGAGAGGTTTGCGGACGAGATTCGCAATGGTAGTCTGATCGTGAGTGGCTGGGTCCATGACGAGTCGAGTCGTCCTAGCCATGCTGCAATCACTATCGGGGCCAGAGACTCTTACGAGTTGAAAGAATATCTCGAACGCATCAAAGCGGTTGCTTTGCACGCATAGTCGATACGGATGACAGCTTTGTTATCTAGCGTCGATTTGCGTCAGTTTCGGATCGAATTTTAGATTAAACCTTTCTATAGCGTCTCATTCTAGCTATAAGTCTTAGCAGATTACTGGCTTACGACATTCCTCCGTCATGACAGACATCAAAAAGCATTCCAGCCCCTTAATATCATCCAACTCTGATAGGAATGCCAGATGCTGATCCGGTCGCAATAACACCATGCAGCCCTCCGGTCCGATACCAAAGGATTTATACAATTTCCCTCCCCCGGCGTGGTGGTACGCTTTTTCGTCCACCCATACCCTGTTGTAATCTACCCCGTGGTCCTCCGTCCAAGGCCGGAAGATCGTCGGCAGATCGTGAAGCTCGATGCCGAGTCTGTCTGCACAGTGGATCAAATACATTTCGACGGATGCAAATCCAGGTCTCGTCGCGCTTGCTCGATTGCTTAGCCTCTGGGTGACGGACTTGGGGGAACCAAGGGCTTCTTCCAGGTGGCCGAGGCGTCGCATTTGCCGCGGATCCGCAATATCGGCCCCGAAAATAATCAGGTTCCACTTTCCCGTGCTGGACAAAAGCTGCTGCAAATGGCGTGGTTGTGCGTCACTCTGGTTAAGGATCAGCAAGCTTGGAATCCGCGCCCCGACCCGGAGGTTTGTCGCCAGAGGTGGCTTGCTGCGGCCGGGCACCACTCCATCATTTAGCAGCCCGGCCCCTGTCATGCAAGGGGTGGTGGGTGTCACGAGCAGATTCGGCTGGTAGATAACGGCCAGGCCTGAGGCTGATGAGTTCTCTTCCTTCAGTGCTCGCTTGTGGTCCTCGTCGAAGCGACCGTGGTTTGCTTCGCCACCCACATCCCTGCGGCTGCACATTCCACGGCAGATCCGCTGGTCAAGTGCGATCAATTTTTCGGCCACAGGTAGCCTCTCTTGTTGGTATGTCTCGAGGATTTGAGGGTGCAAGGTGCCTTGGACAACTGAGGCGAGTTTCCAGCCGAGGTTGAACGTATCCTGCATGCTTACGTTCATTCCTTGGCCTGCCTTGGGGGAATGTGTGTGGATCGCATCACCGGCAAGAAAGATGCGGTTATGCAGGCCAATTTTTCGGCAGATCCGCTGGCCTACCTAAAAGTATTTGTTAGCTTTGGGGATGGTGCAGTGTATGGCGGATTCTGTGGGTGTGCGTACAGTGTATATGGTGGACCACTCGATATGTTTCGTCTTCATCGTATATGGCTGCATAACCTTCTCGACCTGGTCCATGAGGACCTCGCTGTTTTGTTCCTCCCTGTATCGCGTGGCCACGTCTGGATGGAGCTCAACGTAGATACGGACAAGCTTTTGCTCCCGCGGGATCACCATAAGAGTTCCGTGTTTTGTCTTTACAATGGACCGTTTCCGTATATCGGCTGCACAAAGTCCCTGTTTTTAGCAAAGCGTTATTAGATATCCAATAGGGTAGAACTCACGGAAGTTCGTGAGGGGGATAATATCCAAAACCCCCCAAGAGTCACTTGAGCTTCCTCCGTCGAGTCTGAGCCTGAGCTGTTTCCTGAGCCAGCTACGCGCTCCGTCGCATCCCACGATATATTTGGCTTCTACCACGGTGTCCATCCCTGCATATCCGGAATCATCCGAATGTGGCTCGCTGCTTGTAACACTACTCGGGGTATCCATGCCATTGGAATGGGGCTTCGATATAGGAGCCGCGCTCTTCAGATTTATGCGAATTGGGAACTTGCTGTGGTCCTCGATTTTATCGTAATCGATATCTAAACCGGTCGGAGTCGTCTCTCGTCTGATGTCAACGTTGCCACGGGCCCGGACATATTCCATGAGGTATTCTTCCACTTTTGCTTGGCTGAGCGTGGATTCATGGAATCGTGACCATCCGGGCTCTGAATTCGCAGTAACGCTTTGTCTTTGGAGGTTTCCGTCGACTGTGCCACCCTAAACTAAGGAGTCAGATATCTGCCGACCATAATCTACCTTGACCAACGTGGTATGAAGAAGATAACTCACCCATAAGGAGATTTCTACCGTATGGTTTGCTTCTGCCCAGACTTTGTCTGCAAGGCCAAAGCTGTCTAGGATTTCCAATGTTCGGCTTTCCAGCCCGTCGGCCCGGCCGCATCGCGTCTGATGCGACCTTTTGTCAATTATCATCGCTTTCACACCCATCTGAGCCATCCAGGCGGCAGCCATTAATCTATCCAGCGAACGTCAACGGTTTTTCAGGGACCACACGGACATAGCAACATACCCTGCCGGACCGGCCCCGACTATAAGAACGTCAGTTCGAACTGTGTCGCCCATGGTGATGGCACTTGAAGTCATTGGCCCGAGCCGAGTCGGCTCAAGAATATACTTGAATCAAGGCGTTTTTATTATCTTTGCGTAAGCAGTCGTTAAGCATATTAGTACTCCATGGTCAATCCGGGATAGGCTTCCAGGCAGTCCATCCAGGAGTTGTCTGCGTCATATTCTGGCGTTCTAACATCATTACAGTACCGCATTCAAACTACCGTATTTTATTTAGTGGTTCAATCGGAATGCCATGGTCGGGCAGATCAGCGTTGCATCGTGTCTAGCCCTAATTCGGCTTGCTAAATGCGGGCGGAAAGACGCATGCGGGCCGGACCTTGGGGGTAGCCCATCTACCTGTCTAGGTCTACATATATAAAAGATATTGTAAAATCATTAATTTGCGTAGAAACGTACACTAATCTATGACCGTCCGACATTCCTTTCACTAACGACTCCCACACACTTCCATCTTTCAAAAATGGCCCCTAGCGTCGATTCACCCACCGGTTTCTACAAACCTGAAGAAGATGTCTTTGTAAGAACCCCATCCAGATCTCAATCTATAACTCCACTATTCCATTTAAATCCCGCTGGCAACACTAAACTTAGACACAGTGCAACGATGGCCGCGAAGACCAACTCCTCTCTTTCATCTCCAATCACCCCCAACTCCCTCAAATTCGCAACTCCCCGGAAGCCGTCCTTGCCGCTATCGACGAATTCGGCCGCACCAAGGATTTCCTTATGAACATCGGTCCTCACAAAGGCAAAGTCATTAGCGACATCATCGCCACCGACCGACCATCCACCATCCTCGAAATTGGAGGCTACATCGGCTACTCGGCCATTATGTTCGGCCACGCTCTCCGCAAAGCAGCCGCAGCAACAGGCCGCCAGCCTCAGATCCCAAGGTTCGTCAGTCTGGAAATGAATCCCAAGTTCACCGCCATTTCGAGAGCACTGGTCTCTATCGCTGGGTTAGACGACGTCGTCGATATCTGGGAAGGACCATGCCGCGCGTCTCTCCAGCGTCTCGCGAAGGGAAAGACTAGTGATTTCGCTACGGAGCCCTGGGACATGTTGTTTCTAGACCACTCCAAGATCTCGTATCTGAATGATTTGAAGCTTTGCGAGGAGCTGGGCCTCGTGAAGCCTGGATCTATGGTCATCGCGGACGATATGAAGAGGCCCGGGAACCCACAGTATTCGGAGTATGTGCGGGCTTCGCCGGTGAAGAAAACTGAGGCGTATTTGCCGTTTAAGGGGTGTCTTTCGGATGGGGGTATTTCGTTGGGGAATCCGTTTTTGGTGTATAAAACGGCGTTGGTGGAGGGGTTAGAGCCAACAGGGCTTATGGTGAGTTTTAGATTTCCTTTAATTTTGACGATTTCGGAGGTGCTAGTTGGCTTTGTGGCTAATGTTTGATATAGGATGCGGTTGAGGTGTCGAAGTGCGTGGATCTGGTGGACGTGAATTAAGGGAGCGAGCGATCTTTTGATGGCGCTCAGTTCCCGTGTTAGTGGTGCCGATGACACTCGAGCATGGTCTGGGACACCTTACCCTGTGTGTTAGGTTATCTCAGCCGGGAGATGGTTCTCATCGTTCGAGGATCATATGTTCCTTATGGAGAACCCCTCGTATCTGATAACTATTCATGACATATCGGTATTAAGGTTGTTGGCCAGTTTCTCGGATCACCCGTATTGCGAAGAACCCAATGTACTGGAAATACGATACTGTGCTAGTGCCTAATTCGGTGTGGCGCGCGTTGGCAGGGTCCGAATGCTAAGAATGGGGAATCCTTTTAATTCTTCTAGTTTTGACCAAATACAACAGTGGACACCCGAGAAGACTAATTCCTGTCTTCTCTCGTAAGCGCCGGAGTAATCTTAGGAGGGCTGTTATAATGTATTCCTCTAGAAGTAATTATTAGATACGTCGTCTATGGGTATGGCCCGTAAGGAGAGCATTGTATCTGTATGTAGTATTGTAGGCTCGTTATGAAGTAACCGTCATCCCAAAAACAAATATTGTAAAACTTCAATTACTTTCTGTTCTCCACTTCAGACATAGAGCACAAATACAAAGGTAAGTGCAAACTTCCACAAGCCACATTTCCCTTGACTTTCGCCCCTAAGCCAGGCAGGCCAAGTACAAAATGAAAAGTTATTGTGCGGCGTCACTCTTTCAGCCCCCCGAACCTGGCCAAGACTCTAGAGAATACTATGAAGCTGGGCCCGGGCAATTCTACGCATTTAATGGGTACTATCGTTTCAATCCCACACACCATCTCCGCTCGCACAGTTGCAATATTGGGCTACGACTTTATGATGATTGATGCACAACATACGTACGTTTACCCTCCTGTACTTGGCATTCACGGAGGACTGCAGGTCGAGAGTCTGCTTACTAAGGATTCTGTCCGCTTGGCAGGCCTATCGGCGCGGAGAACCTCGTTCGCTTGATTCAGACTATCAGCCTCTCCAGTCAGGGGAGAACCGTGCCGATCTGTCGAGTGCCATCCGCCCAATCACACCTATTAACTTATGCTCTTGGTGCAGGTGAGTTCGGATTCTAGCTTTATCGCTATAATTCTAAGCTTATACACAATGTTCCATTAATATAAGAGCGGGAGGGATAATCTTTCCGCATATTGATACGCCAGAGCAAGCTGGTGAAGCTGTCAGCAAGTGTCGGTATGCATACTCAGACGGTGATCAGTCCGCAGCTCCAGCGGCATTAGTTCCTGGGGTTACAGACGTGGCACCGATTGGGTCCTCCCATGCGCATGTAGCGGACGATAATCTCGCTGTGATCATCCAAATCGAGAGCCTATTAAGTCCAGTCACCTTGACTAGCGATTCCTTGATTGGCTAATAAGGCGTGTCCCAGCTTGCACTGGAAAACGCGGATGCCATCGCCGCAGTTCCCGGGGTGAACGCATTAATGCTTGGAGCCGGGGATCTCCGAGTACCTATGCGCCTCATCCCGCGACAAATGGGTGATCCTGAAGATTCAAGAATGATGGATGCAATAGATCGATTAGTGAGCGTGTCACGGCGGCATTGGAAGCCGTTGGCGGTGGTGACATGTAAGGTGGCTATTACCAGTAATGAATGGCTGAAAGACTTTCAGCTATTGATGTTAACCTCGGACTATTCGAGCATTGTAAAGGGTCACAAGGAGGAGTTAATGCAGATGACGAAGACTATAGCAGAGTTGCTTGGTTTAAGGAACTGAAATCTCGGGTGGCAAGGTGATGGCACACGGCTAGCATTGAGAATCTGCTTCAGTTTGTTGTGTATGAGACTGGTGCAAGTCAGGAATCAAGTCGCACCCCGGAATCAATCCCGAGGTGTCTATACAAGAACCAAGTTGAGTGGAAATCAACTTGGACTTTGTGGTGTATACATAGCCTCATATTTCCCTCTGAACAAAACAATCAATCTTCCTATCAGTTACAGCAGGTTATGAGCCCGGGAACAAACTCTCGGGTGCCGTCTCTAATCATCAGAGAACTAACTTGACCCTCTTGATTATATATATCTACTTCACTTTCTCAAACATGTCTGCTCTGGTCCACGACTCGCCTGACCGAGCGGTCACGGCCATCGAGCCTCTGACAGGAAGCGACAACTTCGCGACCTGGAAACGTCTCATGACCTCCTACCTCAAAGCAAGGCAGGTCTAGGATATAATGTCGGGCGACCTTTAGCGTCCCGATTGTCTATTTAAGTACGCCAAACCCATTACGGCGGATATCTACCCCTTAGTGGAGCCCTACCTCAACGGGGCGGTGAGGTAGCGGACTATTAAAGCGCGCCTCGAAGTGGAGGTCTAGGCGTTCGAGCGCTACCGTGAATAGACCTTGCCAACTCCCATGGGACTAAGAAAATTTTGGTCCCATATCCTGGTCCCATCTACTCCCATAGGACTAAAAAGATTCCGGTCCCATTACCCTAGTACTCCTATGGGGGTCCTATAGGAGTTATGGGACTCCTATATAGTCCTATACTTTTTATAAAGAATATTTGCACTATTTATGGTCCTATAGGAGTCCTATCAAAGTCCTATAGGACCGGACTAGTACCTTAATCCGAATTTAAGATTAAATTGTAGGAACAGCGCGTCGAGCGAGAACCCCGACCGTGAACCCGGCTATATAGTAGATTGTAAGGAACGCCGAATTCACGCGCCAATAGTACTATTTTTGGTTTTTTTCGAGCTTGCCATTTAGATAGAACGACTGCTAATGATTTCTCCAACTTTAGGTTTTTTTTAGGCATGTTTGTAGGGTATAAAATAGTAGTAAAAATGATGGGTGGTATAAAATTTACGTTGAGCAAGAGTTTACGTTAGTGTGTGGTAACCCAACACCCGCAGGGGGTGGGATTACTTGGCAAGAACCGGGTAACTAGTTAATACTATAGATAGATCTTTGATTCCCTCGATCTAGGGGTTATTTCAGCACGAGGCAGTTTAGTTCTTATTGGCTTAGTCTTTGTTTCGGCGATAGCGAGGTTGATCTTTTAATTAGATCTTAACAGAACGATTCCGGCTTATAACTGTGCGGGAGTCGATGTATTATGCACTGTGTTATGGTATGGTCGGTACCAGTTGTTACCTAGTTACATGATTTTCTGAGTAAAATACCCTATCACCTGTCCGATCAACCTCTTCCCTGTACTCTGTAAGCCTAATATCACCATCAAATGACCCGTCTGCAACATAAAGATAAATCTGAAATCTGATGGATACGTTGTACGTTGTAGGCTTCCACATTTCTAACCATCTGGTAATATTAATAATAGTAACCCTGGCGGGGTTTGATTGCCTGGCGAACCCACCGAGGCAGTGAGACAGGCAACATCGTTAATCGTAAAAGCATCTTGAGTCGGTAGGGGATAATAATATGTCCAGAGTAGGCGAACAAGACAGTCTCAGTAATATTGCCAATGTTTGACATGCAGTATCAAAAGAAAAGGGCATAAGTACTCCGTACCTAGAATCCCACTCATATTGTACACAGGGTGATTAGGACTGTGAGTGGTCGCTATGGCAATCCAGTGGGGGAGGGGGTCGGAGACTCCATCGTGGGTGCAGCTCCTTAACCCTAAAGGTGGGGGAGCCGCGACGGCTTGACAGCTTATTGAAGCCCCAATGCAGCTGAAACCGGATTCACAAGCAAAAGTACGGAATACGGAGTGTAGAGGGATGACGATCTTGTCTGGACCGCGCAATGGTCCACCAGGAAATGCGCAAATCTCTGAACCCGTGGTGGCTGGGGATCCGATCGAAGCTGACGGAGATCCACTACATGTGGAATACCTGACTGGGGTTGGGTAGAGATGCCTTGGAATGGCATCATGCAATATACTGCAATATACTGCAATATATATGAGGATGATAATTATATAGCAGTCTTGAAAATATATACAGAGTTACATCGTAACGAAATGTAATGAAATGAAGTTCATCGTAGTTTCCTTGTTTACTTGAATGCAAGGTTTGTGTATCCATGGTATGGTACATCACCCCGTCCACCGCCAGGGGTAACAACCAATCAATTCTTAAGATCTGATACAACCCCAGCCACCTCCAATACCCACTTCGGATATTCCAAAGAGGTACCTCTTCTCTTTTCTTCTTCCCCTCTCCCTAGACATTGGCGTCAATGGTAATTTTCGTTTATATTCAATATTTCCAGTGATTGATTAGAATCCTGGACAATGTCGAAGGTCTCCAAGGTCAACCATGCGGCGGGCATCTTCGCTGACATCTCCGTCGATGGGCCCATTATCGGTACCTTGGTCGCTATTATCGATCGAGCCAAGAACCTACCCAACCGGAAGACTATGGGCAAACAGAACCCTTATGCTGCAGCACGATTGGGCAAGGAAGCAAAGAAAACACAAACAGACTTGCGAGGAGGACAAACGCCGCGATGGTAAGCTTTTAGCCTGATAAACGTGGAAAATGTAACTTACTTGCCTAGGGACTCGGAACTTCGATTTACTGTACATGAATCCCCCGATTACTTCAAGCTAAAGGTCTCTGTGTTCAATGACGATAAGAAGACCGACTTGATCGGCGAGACCTGGATCGATTTACAAAGCTTGATCATCCCAGGCGGTAGCCAGAATGATCACTGGCACCCACTTCAATACCGTGGGAAATATGCAGGAGATATCCGAATGGAAATGACTTACTACGACACCAGACAACAAGATGAGGTCCTGATTGGACGTCGACAAGAAGCCGCTGACCGGGTCCAAGGCAAAGTCCCTAGTACTCCGAGCAACACGAGTATATCTGGTCCGCGACAATTGAAAGATGTCAAGCGACGACCCTTGCCCAGCGGCCCTGCAGGGGCCCCGCCAAGACCAGCTCCTCTGGAACAATCTCACTCTGCGCCTCCACTTCACCACCCTGCCCCGTCGAGACCCGCCCTTCCTGGACATTCAAACACCCTATCTGGTGCTCCAGACACCATCTCCTATGCCCCAAGACATTCAGAGCATGTATACGATGCATCATCTTATCGCGCACCTTCTCCCGTCCCACCTCCATCTCGGGGCGGGTATGATGGTGCCGATAACTACACCCAAGAATGGGACACGGCAGTTGTTGCTCCTCTCCGCCGACAAACCACCCATGAACTGCCTTATGCCTCCAATGAAGTTATTGAAACCCCGTATGACTCGCGCCTACTGCAACAGCAGCAGCAGGAACAAGAACTCCAACAGCAACACGAACTACAGCGGCAACAAGAATTACAGCGGCAACAAGAATTACAGCGGCAACAAGAACTGCAGCGGCAACAGGAATTACAGCGGCAACAACAGTTGCAACAACAGCTGGAGCTACAACAACTGGAGCAACAGAAACTGGAGCAACAGAAACTGGAGCAACAGAAACTGGAGCAACTGCAGCAGCAGCAACAACAACTGCGGAATCATCCCGAGTATGATCAGCCACCTTCGAGAGACTATCGCCTCGCCAGGCAAAATCATTACGAGGCAGATCTCCATCAGGAAGTGCCATACAATTCTACACGCCAAAGTTTCTATGCTCAAATAGAGCAGCCTCGATACGATCCAGATCCCATGTCATATGGCGCAACGCATACGCACGAGGTGCCAGCTTCGGACTTTATGCCTTCTTCTTTAGGGCCAGTGGATGACCCGAGGTACCATGCACACAGAGTTCGGCCTCTACAGATCACTGCTCATGGTCATGATTACCACCCAGAGTATGCCGGAATGCAACCACGAGTAGAGGATGAAGATGATGACGGACCGCCCCCTCCTCCACCGGCACACGGGTCACGAAGGCCGCACTCTCAGCTGCCTACACCGAAAACGTCGCCCCGCCCATATGCACCCTATACACCCCAATCTACTGCTCGATCCTCAGTCCCCCATCTTCCATCGAGCATGTCTACCCCGTCCCACCGCGATCGCTATCAGGACCCCTCTTCAATGGGAAACTCCCCAGCAATGCCCGCAAGCCTCGTCGCAGGCTATGAACCGGAAGACTCATCTGAGAGGGTAGCACTCGAGCGATCAGCCAACAGACGCAGCACTCACTGGGACGATGAGATGATGATTTCCCAGCCGCCTGCACCAGTTCCTGTATCGGCACCTGCTCATTACGATGCCCCTGTCTACCCCCTACGAACATCGCCCCGGCCTATTGAGCAAAGACCCACTTCTAGCAGAGGTGAATCTGTCAGCCCTAATATGCGGGCTGTGACCCGGAAGTCAGTCAGTCCGCGTCCCTCTTCTTCGGACGTCCGCGGTGGCTCTTCAATCCCTTTCTCTCCAGACTCTTACATCTCTCTAAATCCCAATGCCTCTCACCCTCCCAGCCGAGATCCTTCCCCGGCATATGACTCGCCTTCGCAAGCTCGAGATGCCGTGATACGCGGAAAGACTGAGCCTCATCGAGACCTAGATCACCCAATCATCGGGGATGATGGCCGTGAGATTGACCCCTCTGACCATCTTCCCACCGATACATGGGCGCCTGAACCAGAGAGGAAGAACCGCAAGCCAGAAGTTATCATCCGCTTCAAACACTCCCCTCGGCCAACTTCTAGAGGAAACGACGCTCCCTCATCACGCAGCACAGGCCCGCCACGCGTTGGATTTAGAACCGAGACCACTACCTACCCGTCGGATCGCCCGGTCCAATACACACCCACCCATGTGCACGCAAGTCCAGGGGCAATGGTACGAACACCACCTCGCCCGGACTACGCGCGTGAGCGCTCTGATAGCTACGCGCGAAGTCAGGCCTACAACACCCCCACTTCGACTGAGCGGCCGCGTTCTTCCCGAGGCTCTGTCTCGCCCTCTCCGGGGTCTCGTACGCCACTGTATGACTATAGCCCAGGTCCCCCAATTCCAAACAAGGTGCCAATCACCGGAGGAAGTCCAAGCTACCCCGTCATGTCTGGTAATGCAAATGGAAATGGCCGCATGGATGCCCTGAGCAGAGAGCTGAGTACAATTGACATTGGCTCTGCGGCATGCAGCCCTGGCCGGGGGGCCGTTCGAAAGTACGTACCAAGGCAACCAGCGTCGATAGGCTATGCCAGGTAAAACGATTTTCATTCTACATTTAGGGATGACTCATGTACTGCTATGTTTATGTTGGCCCCCTGGTAGGCATATTTCCCCGATTCTTTTCAATTTTTGGTTTCAGACTGTACTGCTCTTGATATCCGGCAAAGATGGCGTTATGGATTTGATTTACGAGGGATATAACTCTTGATGTACACATAACAAGAATCCGCAATGATACCTTTTAAAGTGACACCTTGACTCTTACTGGATAGGTGCTCCATAGACTTGAGACTAAGTTTACCAAGTTCATTGATGTAGTTGCTCGATGGTCTGACATTAGTTCTCAGGATTGCCTATATAAAGGTTCCTGATCTCCCACTTTCTCCAGTGGATTTTATTCCACTCCGTTAGCTCTATCGAGGTGGTTGTCGGTGGTTGTCTCTTCACGCCATGTTGTATAAGAAGATATTACCCTCACGCCGTGAGCCAAAAGCCTCATTACTCTTATACTCTTCTAGAATCTGGTGATTTCCATCGAATTCAAAAGGTCTCGTCTCATGTCTCTATGGATATAAGCACTACTCCCATACTCAGTAAATCGGTCTTAGAGACTCGGCTATTCCAAGTCCTGTTATTTCTTATTGTCTAGCAACTAAATGGTACCCACGATGCACAACCTCATACTGTAACTAGATGATGTGGCATGGAGATATCCGAATATCCAACAAAGGGAAAAAACCATCTGAACTCGATCAAATACAAACATCGCAGGTAAATTCCGACAAACTTATAAAAACCCATCCTATTGCAGTTCTCCTCCTCCTCCCCTGTCCTATCCTCGCACTGTTTTACTTTCTACTTTCGCCCACCACCTGAAGCCTTTCACTTTATCAGATAGCTCGTGCATCATCATCAACGGGCTTTGCTATCAACATTCATCATTACCCAGGTACGTCCGTCATCAAGGACGTACTTTCCCATCTCCATTTATCTTCGTCTTTCTCTTGCATCATAGTTTCCATCATGCAGGATCAGGGCCCTGATGCAGGTGATCGGGGCCACCTCCCTCAGGAGGACTTGAAAATGTATGTATACTCAACATGCTCACTCTTCCCCTCTAGCTTGTTGTGCACATATTTTCCGTTTATTTTGAGATCAGATGCTAACTTATATGCTTAGGCCTAGCAGTACTGCCCATGCCAACCAACAGGTTTCGACGTAAGTATATGATATATCCCATGGGGTCGCTATCTTCCTAGCATCCAAGCATACTATATCTGGAGTCCTACCTTTCGTTCAGCCTTTCACTATTCCTTTGCCTTCCCCTTCCTTTTTCACTGCCCATGAGCTAGGATCTGCGATACAAGCCCGTGATAGGTGTCAAGAACATCGTGTTTTTCGAAGATGTCAGCTAATCGAAATATTAGCCCCGGCATGTCTAGTCGAACGATTCGTCAGGAAACCCCACCCCTGTCCCTACTTCTCTCCCCTCCACTTACTTCACCATTGATACAACTGGACACGGATTTCAGTCCCCTCCAGCAATACAGCACAGCACAGCCCCCAGATCCCCGTTTCACCAGTAGGAATGGATCATACCCTGTATATGATCCCAACCGAGGGGCAGAGCTCAGGAGTGCTGCAGACTGTGCCAACCCATACCGGGATAGATCGGAAAGGGTTGATCATGTACGAGCACAAGAACGGGCTCGCAGCAGAAGTCCTTGCCGCCTGAACCAACTCGATGACCTTACTCGATCCCGAGAACTACCACAAACTCCATTTATGGAATTCAATCACTATCCGCGGGAGATGTATGTCCCACCCGGAATCAATGACCTGATGCCTCGTCTGCCTAGCTCCTCCCCGACACTATCTCCGAGCAACATCCAGCGTGGTCGTCGTGGTCATGCTCTAGACCATGCAGGGAACTCTACTGGACAGACTTACCCTCTTGATAACCGCAAGTTGTATGGATACCACCACGACCAGGAGCAACAGGTGCAGGGGTGTGACCCAGCACCCGGCAGAGAAGGAGCGAACAACCAAGAGGATGCCAAAAATATTGACGACAACGAGGAGGATCACTTATGTGAATTTGCCGCTCCATGTCGAATGCATCCCTCGCCCGATGGAATGCACTACCGAAAGGTTGTGTCACACGTGTTTGGCAGAAACAAGGCCGTCACCAAGCTGTTCCCACTCAGCGTCTGGGTCCATTACTGCCGAAAGCACTACCAGCGTGCCCGATACCGTGCAGACCAATGGCCGTTTACGCAGTGTGATCTCCTGTTAGAATCCCTGAGCCGAATGGAGAACTGGGATGGAGTGGAGAGTTTCGAACTCATCCTCCGCCGACGAGAGCAAATGCGTGTCGGACGTGAAGCCGAAGGCGCACTCACCACCACCGAGACCTCCCGTCAAAAGGAGACTACTCCCTCGGCCGCCAGCCAGGCCCAAGACCAAGACAAGTCTTCAGACATCGTTCCTCGAGGTCCAAGCCGTAAGCATCCAACTGCCATCATCGCCCCGGTCCCGGACTGGCTTCGCCAACACATCGGTCACGGCAAGTCATTTGAAGAGATCCGCCAGATCATCGAACTTGTCCGTGACCACATGGTCCGGCTACGGAACCAGGAAAGAGTCCAACAACAGCTCCGTCACCTTCCCAAGTCACCGAGCGCACCAGGTACCCCTCGTCGGGGTGCGCTTTCTCACGTCCGAAAAGGACGGGTGACTAAGTCTACCAACCGGGACCCTCTACGCGTGCGTGCCAGCACTGTGCGCTTCCCCGACGTTGAAATCCTCCCCCATTTCAAGCCATGGGTTAAGGAGGCTGCTCTACGGCAGCGATCTGCCACTCACTTCCCCATGAACGAAAGGGACAGTAATCAGTCAGAGCAGAGAATTTCTGGAGGGGGACACATCATTGGAGAAGTCCAGGATACCTGTGACACCAATGCTCGGACTGAATCGACGCAGCCGACAAATGGTGCTTTGGCGACTAACAACAACACAACCCCGCGCAACGATGAACCAAACTCAGAGCCCATTGAGATGACTGGAGCCAATCTCTCACTGATGCAACCTCACATCGGCAGGGCTGGGACAAACCGAGGTCAATCTGAGAGCCAGCGACGACGCAGTGAACGGGTCTACATCAAGGCCATAGACCGTGTCCCTGGACAGGGTCCTGTCAAGAAACCCGGCAAGGATGGAGATAAATAACTGAGATCTCATTTCTCATTTACTCCTCAATCTACTCTCACTATCGCTTAAGTTTGTGCTCAGTTCATATCAACCAACGATCACATCAAAAAGAAAGGGAAAAAAGATTGAAAATAAAATCTAAAACAAAACAAAAGAAAATGAATTGACGGAATATTGAATGGACTCGTTGACTCGTTGACAATCAATTCACAACTGAAAAATGAATTCAAAATGATTGGAAAAAAAAGGGCATAATCACAATACACTCAAGGTGTTTCTCTGGGGAAGCAGCACCATCTTATTATGCAAAACAGACATAAAAAAAAAAGTGTCAAGAGTGATCTCCCCATGTCAAGGAAATCTGATCTACATTGGTATCAGACCATGTTCCCCTAGGGTTAACATCAACTGGTTGTTCATTGTGTTTCAGATACGGACCTTTCAAAAGTCCTGCGTTTGCCTGATGATTTTGTGATGTGGTGAAGACTGGGAGAAATAAGAGTAAGAAAAGCAGAAAAGAAAAAGAAAAAAGAATCGCTTTAGCAAATATGACTGTGTAGATTTTAATTGATTCAATTTCATTGCCGTACAATTATTGTACATAAGACTTGGTCAATAACTGGCTGTCTTGATGAATTATAGATACATAGACATATGGTAGTGTTCAAATGTTAGTCTCAAATTCCATTTGTAGCTTCTTCAAAAGACTAAGTTCCTATGTATTCAGCTAAGCAGTAAAAAGTTAATTGAACGAATATTTGCATGCGAAAGGGAGAGAGAAAGAAGAGAAAAGACACCAGACCACATACTCCGTACCTACATGAGGTACAATGGTAGATAGAACCCACAACAATACGACTCGCTTGCTGGAAAGACACCAAAATGCAGCAGAAAAAAAAAAAAAAAAAAAAAAAAAAAAAGCTCCTATGCAACCACCCAAGCCATATGAATAAGAAATTAATGTAAGATAATTATCATGGTAGTTTTTGTATGAACAAAAGCCAAATCCAGCTCTCAGATAAACAGACTGGTCTAGCTTGCCACAGCCAGCTGGGCGACGAGATCAGACGCCACATCAAGGAAGGGGTAAGGGCTGGTCACCTCCTTCTCCTTGTTCTTGAAGCGCTTGCTAATAGGATGCCATCCGGTGTCGCCCTCGGCGCGGATCACGTTCTGGTAGCCATCACATTTGAAGTCAACCATGTAGTTGTTTTCTTCGAGTTGGTAAAGCTGGATGTCGAGGAAGACCCAGACACCGTAGGTGATGTGCGGGAGTCCGCTTGGTCCATTGACCGAGGAGGCCCCGCTCGTGAGACCGCTGTCGGGTACGGAGGACTGGGGGTCTCGGCTTCTGTCTTCTGTTGGGACAGAGATCCCCGAGATGTTGAAGCGGCGGCGCAGCTCTTCAAGGTCGCTGCGGCTATTGTAAACACTGGTGGAGGCCCCGGGGGCCTTGATGCCTTCTTTCAGTAGACGTGCACGGATAAACCATGGATCCTTGGGAATGTAGTAGTCGGATGGGAGGTCGGGGTATTTGCTCTGCAAGGGTTTGGGCTTATCAGGGGAGGGAGTCGCGTCGGGGCCGATGTTGGTGCCTAGAGGATGTAAGAATGAGCTCGAAGCAGGTAATAAGTGGAAACATACCAGATTCCACCGGTTGAATATCCCACAATCCACCCTGGGCAGCAATTGCCCGGTACAGATACAGCATGGCCTCATATGGTTGGTTTCGGGATCGAATACCAAACTGCCATTTGCGGCTCCGCTTTGGCTGCTTTTCAAGTGGTTGACCGGTTGGTGGCTCGAATCGTAACTTGTCGAAGTCGACGACACTACGTGCGTGGGGCTTCAATGCACGGGCTGTGGCGGCCTGTTCTTCGGGAGACATATCCCGATAGGCAGATCCATGTCCCTCTGGGTCAAGGTGAGCGGCTTCTTGGCGACGCTGCTCGAGCATTTCGCTGCGAGCTCTTTTATCTCGATCACGTTGTTCCATGAGTTGATCGTGAACATACGGCAAGCTAGTAGGGAGGATCCGCACGTGGCTAACGCGAAGTTCTTCTTCGGATTCTGATGGCTGTGGGTCTTCCGATGCCCTCCGGTGCGATGCACTAACGGTCCTGTCCATGGCGGGGGCAGGGGACCCTTGATGACGAGGCGCAGGAGTCCGTTCCGCAGATGAAGGCGCAGCTCCTTTCTGAACATTTTGAGCTAACAAATTATCTTCCGTGGGTGCTGTTGTCGTTAGCGGAGAGGTAAGTAAATTAAACATTTCAGTGCTTACAATTCGTTTGCATCATCTCATTCTCAACAACGATGGAGAAGGCATCCTTGATCGCGCTGGGTTCCGGGTGCCTCAATGCCTCTTCGATATCCTCTCGGCCATATCCCATGCTTCGTTCGAGCTTGGAAACTGCAATTCGATGGATTTTGTGCTGGACTGGTGGAGGCTTTGCCATACCAAGCTTTGCGGAATCAACCTTCTTCGGGTCCGCCCCTGGGGCGATGAACTCCTCTCGTGGCGGTTCCAGGTACTGGGGGAGATTTTTGGTGAACCATGGGTCCAGCCTGATCTCAGGAATTGTAATGCGGTGGACGGGGTGAACTTGGAGCATTGCCCGGATCAAACGAGCTGCCCCGGATGAGATGTATCCAGGTATGTGGAAGGTACCGGCTGCAATCTTCTTGAAAAGGGCTGGAATGTAATCATCATCGAAAGGCAATCGGCCTACCAACAACACATACAAAATCACACCACAACTCCATACATCGACCTCGGGACCGGCGTAGAGCTTTCCGGAGATGACTTCTGGAGCAGCGTAGTTCGGGCTACCGCAGCTGGTTTTGAGGAAGTTGCCATCTGTCATAATATTACTCAAACCGAAATCCGCAATCTTAACGTTCTTCTGGTTGTCGATGAGCAGATTCTCGGGCTTCAAGTCACGGTGTACAATCTTGTGTCGGTGGCAGTATTCCACCGCACAAATTATTTGTTGGAAGAATTTCCGGGCTTCGTCGTCACCGCACCTTCCCTTCCTCACAAGATAATCGAACAACTCTCGCTCTGCGTACTCCAGCACCATCACAATATCGGACTTGGTCGCAATCACCGTATACCTAAAACATAAATGGTCAGCCAACTGAAACCCCAATTGAATTTTGGATGGAGATTGTACAATTTAATGATGTGAGGGTGTCGTAGCAATTGCAAGTACTGGATTTCTCGCTCCACCCGCCCAACCATGTCTCGGGAGAGTAGTTTGCGTCGTGAGATGATCTTCAGGGCAACCTGACGTCCACTTGGCTGGTGAATAGCAAGTTTTACCTTGCCAAAGGAACCCTCACCTAAGACCCTTATAGTCTGGTACTGGTCGAGGCGTTGCATATCTCGGGTAGTCGACGGTGATTGCAACTGCAATGGGTCCTCGGCCTTGCCGGTCGGCCTCGAGGGCGGGGGCATTGCCATGGCGGAGTGGTGGGAAGCCGGAGTCCTAGCACGTTCACGCGGACGATCACGGTCGGAGGGGAAGGGGATAGCGAGGTCTTCCTCATCGAATGCAGCGGCCATGGTCGGGAAGAATGACAACGTGACGTGATTGATTTTCCAGACGGTTCAGCGGTCCGGGCCTGCTGACTGTACAGACCGTGGTAAAGTAGGGGCTTTTTTTCTATTTTTTTCCTCTCGAAACATTTGCCAGGCGCCAATCAGTTAATCAGTCTCGACCCTCCCCACAACAGAACCGAGAGTGGAGCTGGACAGCTGTTTGTCGGTGGGGGGATGGAGGGGTAGACTTTGCTTGGTCAGGGGTAAGCAGAAGAAGTGAAGAAACCAAAAATGGGAAGAGGTTGGGTAGATACTCGGTATCAATAATAAAATAGGAAGATCAATGAGATCTGGGGAAGGGAAGATTCTCAATCAACCTCGTTTAGGAATATCGATGGATTTGCGGGAGTTCTAGACCTTACCTAAGCTACTTCAAGGTCCACTGGGCTGGGGCACATCACCGTACTCTGTACGGAGTACGGAGGACTTACTCCGTACCATAATATATATCCATGGATGTCAAGATCAACCTTGTTATACGGATAATATACATATAAATCTCTATATGTCTATATATATATATATATATCATAATACTTTAGACGTTCCCGAGGTCACCTCAACATCTTATATCTTGTCGGTCAACATGGCAGAATATATTTTAACATTTATATCCTTATATTAGCCCTAATGTAGTGCATCTTATCCCAGATCAAAGGTTGGTCTGTGTACGGAATATGTGACTAGGAGATCATCTAGCTAGAGCTCATGAATAAAGCTTCTTTTTTTTTAAAAAAAAAAAAAACAAAGTAAAAGAATCTTCGCCGAAGCTCCGAGAAAAGCCGTGTCCTTTGCGGTGGGTCAACAAGACCCTTAAAAGACTGTGGCTTAAAGTCAATTGATCGAGTTTTTCATTATTCTCACATTACCCAGAGATATAATAATGCATTTTTCTTGTTCTTTTAGATCCTAAGTCGACTATATATGTCAGGTTTGTAGATATAACGTGCTGGCTATATTATCCTCGTGTACTCCGTATGCTTTAGTACAAACTAGCTGGGCTGTGCAACACAGCCTCTCGAGCTTGAGCATTTCGGAAAAGAGATATCTTTTTGCATTGTAAAGAGTGGAACTTTTCGAGTTAGTGTATTTATATCATAGAAACATCCACTAAAGAAGTTACCTAGGTATACTACGTAGGTATAAAAAAGGCTAAGAGCATATGGAATTTTCTTCCACTAAAAGATACTTTGTAGGTACTTAGATCTCTATAGTAGATCGTATAGATCTGAAAGTACCCTGGGAGTATGTAAAGAGTATGTACTTTGAGTCATACTGCGGCTTAGAGCGATCGAGCGGGGTGTCGGGGTCCCAAAGAGGATTAGCGTCTAGTCGGGGACCCCGAAAAGGAATGGCGGACTAAGAGAGACAGAGCATACATAGAATCAACGGTTGCCTCAGGTCTTGGGTTCTT